ATTTTGCCCCAAAAGGGCCCTTTTGGGTGCCTTTGGAGACATCAAAAAAAAATGTACAATTTCTTGCCCGGCCCGAGGAAAAAGATCCACTGCAAAAGATTCTTGTGGCGTGATTCGGGGGATAGGAGCTTGAACATTTCGGGAATTACAAAAGTGGGAAAATTTGGGGACAAACCCCAGGGTGCATAGCACAAACCGCCATGAAAAGAGACAGCGAAAAACCCGCCCCAGTTCAGTCAAACCCAAAGGACGAGCGCCAGGGACTACATTGGAAAACCAGTTTTGTCGACGACATCTTGAATTTCCCCCAACTGCCCGGAAAAAACCTTAGGTCATCACCAAAAACTGGAGCAGATCCTAGCGGAGGAAGGGGGCGCTTTAAAAACCATGGGGCTTTTTTTGGGCAAAGGGAAAAAAGGGGGCGAAAGAAGAGGCCTCACCAAACATTGTTGTCCTGCCAAAAAAACTGAAGGAAGAAGATAACAAGGCACTTGGTCTCGGCTACATTGTGGATGAGGACAAGTTGCATGTCATGGTGAGAGTCAACTTCTCCAGACGAAAAAAGAAAATGAGGCTTGGCCAAGATCTGTTGCTGGAAGAAGTTCGAGCTAGGACACCAAATCATCTGACAAGACGTGATTTGCTAAGTCAAGTTGCTGGTTTGTACGACCCAATAGGCCTGACCACACCAGCAAAACAAAAAGGGGCCATCTTGGTCCGAAGAGCATTCCAAGAGGCAAAACCAAAGTGCAATATTGTCAAAGATACATGGGACCTTGCCTTGTCTGATGAGCTCCGCAGAGATGCAGTTTATCTTTTTGAGGAGTTTGTCCAGTTAAGTAAAGTCAAGTTTCCAAGAGCCCTCACTCCACCAGATGCAGCATCAGATCCAATCGCAGTCACCTTTTCAGATGGTAGTGAAAGCTCTTACGGTGCTGTCCTCTACCTACGATGGAACTGTCAAGAACAAACAATAGTTCGACTAGTGGAGTCAAAAGCAAAGCTAACGCCCCTAGACCACAAGGGGGACGCAGTCAAAGCGGAGCTTTGTGGTGCTGTCTTTGCAAGCCGCCTGAAGAAGTACTTTGAACAACACAGCCAGATCAAAATCAAGCAATGGTTCCATTTATTGGACAGTCAGACAGTTCTTGGAGCTATCCAGCGTGAGAGCTACGGGTTTCAGACTTTCTTCGCTAATAGGATCGGAGAGATTCAAAGTAACACAAGGCTAGAGGACTGGTGGTGGATCCCTGGATCATACAACATAGCTGACATCATCACCCGAGGAGCTGGGCCAACAGACCTTGATGTCAATTCAGAGTGGCAGCAAGGGCCAAAGTTTCTCTGCCTCCCCGAGAAAGAGTGGCCAGTTATGTCAGCAAGGGATGTGTCTGAAGCTGCTCGAGAAAGCATTAGCAAAATGCAAAAGAAGTCGTTCGTTGCAGCACTCACCAGAGCCCAAGTAAAAAGAAATAGACGAGGTCCTGAGCGAAGACCTCCCGCTGGTACAGCTGTCCAAAACTTACTGGATGGAAGACGCTTCAGTAGCCTAAAAAGCCTAGTCAAGACCGTTGCCATTGTCTGGAGAGCTGCTAAAAAATTTTTACCAGCAAGCAAGTCCGTGACAACCCTAAAGTGGGAGGCGGTTCCAACTGAAGGAGTCATCACTGCCATAGAACGTCAGGATGCACTCAGAGACATCTTCCTTGCTGCTCAAGCGGGAATGACCTTCCCAGCTACCACAACAGACCGTTTGGTTGTGTACAGAGAGCCAGAGGCAGGATTACTAGTCTGTGGTGGGAGAATTCATGGCTTCAAGGAAGATGGCATGGCAGTTCCCCTCCTACCCTCCAATGCATGGGTCTCCACTTTGTTGGCACAAGAGGCACACAATGAGGGTCATGAAGGTGTGGCTGCTACCCTGCTAAAAATGAGAAAGAAAGCTTGGGTCATCCAAGGACGGAGAATTGCCCAGAAAGTAGTGGAACACTGCCTTTTCTGCAAAAAGTCCAAGGCAAAGAGATGCCAACAAGTGATGGGTGACCTGCCTCCTGAAAGAAGCAGCCCAGCAGCTCCATTTGAGTTCACAGCAGTTGATCTATTTGGACCTTACCTTGTCAAAGATGACATAAAGAAACGAGTCTCAATGAAGGTGTGGGGTGTCGTTTTCAGCTGTATGGCCAGCAGAGCAATTCACGTGGACCTGGTCAACACAATGTCCACAGAAAGCTTCTTAATGGCATATCAACGATTTACTGCAATTAGAGGGCACCCAAGGAAGATCTGGTCCGATCCAGGAACAAACTTTATCGGCACCAAACCTGTCCTTAGAGAGTTGTACCAGTTCCTGGATTCTCAAGATAAAGCTGCAATAGAGGAAATGTCTGCTCAGAAAGGTACCGAGTGGGATTGGACAATTCATCCAGCTGACTCCCCTCATCGCAATGGGGCTGCTGAGGCTGCTGTCCGCATCGTCAAGAAGGCACTCAAGAGCCTGGGTAACAACACAAGCCTCAGCTACAGCGAGCTTCAGACAACTCTGCAGCTTGCTGCAAACCTCGCCAACGAACGGCCAATAGATGCTCGGGTGCAGAGCTGTGAGGACTGTGTTCAGTATGTGTCACCCAACACACTTCTCCTGGGTCGTGCCTCTTCAAATGGTGACATCAGAACTTTTGACTTCGCAAGCTACCCTTACAAAAGACTCAGAGAAATGCAACACCAAGTCAACAAGTTCTGGAGGTCTTGGAGCCAGCTCGCCGGCCCAAACTTATTCGTGAGAAGCAAATGGCACACCTCAAGTCGAAATGTCTCCGTCGGAGACATTGTTTGGTTAAGTGACCAAAATGCAGTAAGAGGCCAATTCAAGCTGGGACGGGTCGTGAGTGTCAACCCTGATGCTAAAGGCATTGTTCGGGATGTACACGTTAAAGTAGTTCAAAGCTCCAATCTTTCTGCAACAGGACCCACATTGAGCCAACCATCAAGAGTCCTGAAAGAAACTGCCCAAACCACAGTCCTGCATAGAGATGTCCGACGCCTAGTTGTTCTGCTGCCAGTTGAGGAACAAGCCTCCGACTGGAGAAGGTCTTGACCGTCAGTTTGCAGTTGCTGATGCTGCGATCTCTCCATCGTTTCCGTGGAGAAATCGAGTGGGAGGTGTTCTGTCAAGCTGCCGGGTAGCCCCTCCTCCCCTCCCATCAGCAGGGAGGCACCAGGTGGAACTAATCTCCCAGCAATTTGGGCGTGCCAGGGACCTCTAAAGAAAAGGACCAAGAACTGCTGCATGGCAGAAATGTAAGCAGCTCATGTTTGGAGACAGCCAAAATTCAGCTCCATTGTGACTGTGCAAACAAGTCCTTCTACAAAAACTCTGAAAGACAACCGGTAAGACTCTTAATGCCCTTGATTCTCTGGCTGGACTTTCAAATCAAAGAATTTTATTAAGGTTAATACAGACTGTGGTTGGACTGCTGATGATTATTATTATTTGTGGAAATGTTTATGTTGGTATGTTAACAAATTGATTTAAAGAAAAGATGGTTTAAAAGTTGCATTTGTTTGTAGAAGTACATTTTGTTTTCTTAATTTGTATAGGATAACATTAAAAACTTTTGAAAATGTAGAAGTTAAAAACTATAGTTTGCTAAAATATTTAAATGAGCTAAAAAAATATACTGTTTAATTTATTGGCTAAAATTTAAGATTTAATTCATTTGGCTAAAATTGATCAACTTAATTTGGCTAAGAAATAAATAAAAAATAAGTTACTTTAAATTGTTGATGTATTTAAAAAATATATGTTTGTTTATTTTAGAACATGGTGGGAAATATTTTATTTAAAAAGGGCTAAAATGCTTAAATTAATGATGGATACAATTTTGTATTATCTTAAATGACTAATTGTTTTGTGTTACCTTCTCTTTTTGAGGTTTTTCACCTGCCCACTGCCTACTGCCAATTTTCAATAAATAAATAATGAAATGACTATCAAATGGCTGTTCATTGAGTGAAATCCAGTTGGAATGTAGAGGACTATCCTTTTCAAGTGGGGAATTGCACAAGAAACCACATTAATACTTGACAATTATTGATATTTTTTTAGCCTATTGTGTCATTTTGGTAAAAAGATTGAACATCTCTTGTACATTAACATTGCCAGTCCTCAAACTTTAGTCTTTCCATAAATGTTTATAGTACATCTCTGTTACACAAAGCTCACCTTCTTCTTTGGCTAAATCAGGAAAGAAAAGACTCAGTACACATAGTCTGGTTACTGTTTTATTTACCTCATATCCTCATTTAAGCTAATCATAAAATAAGTCAGTAGATTTTGTTTCCTACATATTGTTTTATATCAAATGTCTAAAAAAAACTGATGTGAGAAGTCGCCCACATTAACTCTTGGATGGGGAAGTTATTTAATTCCCTTATTCGCTTTTTTGTGGCATCCACCATTATGTTTCAAGCAGTTGAAACGTTGGTTCAGTGATATACCGGCAAATGCAAAATATTCTATTTAATTTAGTTTTAAGTATAATGTGAAAAAAATAACAAACTGAAAAATGATTTTTCTCTGGTTCGGCACCATAACTCTCTAGGCTGTGATGAGATATTTAGGCATGATACTTTAGTATATTAAACAAGCCTCTATAGCGCTAATCTGAAAGAGATCTGTCCTGCTGAGTGCTACCCAGTTATTGTGAGCGCATTGCTTTATCTGGTGCAATGTGGAAGCCATCATTACAGGTCCTAAAAATTAAGCAGAGTGCTTTATCCTGGAAACCCTGTTGTGTCGTTGGTTGAGACTCCTTTTCTGAAGTAGGAAAGTAAGTTTTTGTTAAATTGCTTATGAATTTGACTAATAAAGGCAAAGAATTAAAGAAACTCAGCATTTTAATACTGTTGGAGGTTAAGTTCAGCACTGGTATCTATCATCTGTCTGTCTGTCAATCATCTATCTATCTAGGCAGTTCCACCCACATGGCAGAGTTACTTACATCTTTTCCACCCATGGCTTCAAACATCTTCTCCAGCTGAACCCTTAACTGTTGGATGTTGTTAATCAGGATGCAGGGCTGGAAACAAGATTACATATGTACATATGAACAAAGACAAATTGGTTTATTTGTAATTATAAAGCAAATTACAAGCTCAAACCATAACTTACAACTTTCTCCATGGTAACATAGTTGGCAAACAACTTGGAGATGATATCAGCATAGGACAGAAGAACATTGCTGATGGTCTGCAGAGGATGCATAAAGAACACTTATTTGTATTTTTTTTCTTGTTTTAAAACTAAGAATACACAGAAAGGATGGATAAATCTACCTTTGCAAATCGCTTCATGTAGTGTCCTACAATCTGTGGATCTGGACACTCTAGCTTCCTGATGATCTCGAAGCTCTGATTGAGCTGGGAGAACACGTCCACCACCGAACAGGAGAAGAGAGCATGTTCTGATGTGACTTGGAACTGCAGAGCAGCAAAAAAAGAAAAGAAAAGAAAAAGCGCAACTAAATAAAAATCATCAATAAAGTAGAAACATTTAAAGCTACAGTGTGTAATTTTCAGCGACATCTAGCGGTCAGACTGCAGACCGCAGCAACATGAACATCTCCCCCCCACCGCTTCTCCCCCCCAACAGTACGGCGAGCGTTACGGGACAAAATTTCTTCCACGACGTCCACATCACCTACCTTCTCAAGTGATGAGGTTTGTTTACATAGATAATTTTACAGATAGTATTTCATTAGTCTGAGTAGGGTATAGATTTCATGTAGACTTAAGATAATAAATATACCCGTTATTTTTTCTACATCGTTGTGACGTTTTGGTGAGCTGCTTTGCATGGTGATATAAACAGACGAAGTAATTGTAGTCATTAGTTTAACAGCGAGATTGTGTTCGCTGGAAGAATATATATTCCCCGTTTACAGAGTCTAAGTCATTTTGGTGGCACGGGGGTTACAACGCGAGGAAGAGGGAGAGGACGAGGGCGAGGGCAGGGAGGCCGTGCAGCTAGGGCCAGGCGAGAGAGGGGAGCCAGCGGGGTGAGAGCAGAGGAGGAAAGGCTTGAAGATCTCCAAAGGAGCCGGAGAGAAGTAACCGAGGTATATATCCAGAAAATTATTTTACAGAAAATTACTGAATCATTACCTATGAAACGTCAGGGACGTTGCTGAATAAGTATACTGGAGAGGAACAGCATCATCACGCCGCAGCATGTTATTGTTTTAGACAGGTCTGAGCATCCTGTACTCCAAAAACTGCAGTGATATTAGACAATTGTGTGTGTAGGATTAATTACCTGTCCAAGAGAAAACTGGCAACTTGAGCGTCACTTTGAAAACCTTTTTCCTCCATCAGTGACTTCCATCGTGTAAATGCCGTGCCAATGTTGATCCGTGTTTTTTGCCGTTTCTTGTCACGCTTGCGTTTATTCTCGTCGTGTTTCCGCTTCTTAGATGACGGGGGTTCGGTGTCCGCCGCTTTTCGTTGTGATACAGAGTAGGCATGATCCTCCATTCGTCTGATGTTTGGCCACACAGTGCCAAACAGTTTGCAAAGTCACTCACGCCTGCCGCCTTGTTCACCTTTCTTGTTACTGAGGCGCAGTATACCTGCTTCTTCTTCTTCTTCTTTGGTTTCAGGCAGACTAAACGCTTCTCAGGCATAATACTGCCATCTACTGTTCAGTACCGTCTCAGTTCATCTCTCTCAACTTGCCGTAGTTATTTTTGAGCGTCATGGGAGATCTCGCAATCGCTAGTTTGTTGCCTCTGCGCTTGCCGTAGCGCAAAGATGTCAGCCTCCATGGCTGCGAGACCCGCTCCTATGTAATTATAAATAACGAATTCTAAGGCAACGCAAATATTATGGTTAAAAGGCTGAGCTCATAGGTGATGATAAATAACATAGTTATGTATAATATATTAAATTTCTGACTTTATATCCCTGTAATTATTACACACTGTAGCTTTAAATCATGAATTTAAAAATGTATGACTTTGCATAGCAGGAAAAAACATGGCAAAATAATCTTCACCCAATTAGGATGGTGTTCTTTGAGGAAAAGTTGCTATATAAAACCAGACCTTTGATGTCAGTCATCGTCTCCAACAGCTGAGACCAGACAGTTCAATAAGCCACCAGCGAACATTATTGAGAACCTGTCTGTCTCTCAATAATTGGCCGGTTAGCACTTGAACTCTAATTGGACGTTTTGTCTTGGTGTGACCAAGGGAATTCTGGGTAATGAGGTGAGGATGCCTTTTATACACTTTCAATGGTATTGCATGACTACTGTGTTTTGCTGTATCAGTATTTACTTCCTCCTCTGCAGCTGATTTGAAGCAGGGAGGAAAGGTTTGGGGCAGAAGGAAGATGTAGCTTTGAAAGATAATAACATATCTGATGCCTTACTCCATCTTTTTTGTCTCTTTCCAAAGCGCCATGCAAAAAGTCACGAGAGACTTCCTCATTTTCATCCAGCCACTGGATGACGAAAGGCTCAAACCATCTGCATAAACCAACCAGAAAATGCTTCAATATATTAGCAGCACATGTTAGCTTGAACTTTGTTTGCCAAACAGTGATACTTACGCAGGGTATTCAGGCACTCGACTCTTGAAGAAAGGAAGGTCTTTGCAGTACTCGTTGTAGAGCCACTTTACCTTAAAGTGCAGGTTCATGTAATCAGCGCTCTTACACAGGCGGTTTTTCTCATGTTCTGACAAAAAAGAAATAAATCCATTAAGATGCATTCATTAAGAAATATTATTGACTAATGTCTTTCAGAGCACACTGCTATAGTCATTAGAACAGTTAAATGAATCGTTTCACAAAAGTATTAGCGGCCCAACTGATTTATTCAGTGTTTTGCATTTTGTTGTGCTTAAATGTTTCTTTTCAAACAATTGTAATCTCAGACAGAGATAAAATTTATTTAAAATGTTTTAATTTTTTAAGAGAATAAAGCTTTCCAAAGCAAAAAGACTAAACAGTCTAAACAGATTCCATTAAAACCTAATAAAACCATCATCGAGTGTTTGCAGTAACTACGAATTAGTCTTTTTTATAAATGTGGAGGAGTTTAGACTCTCCATTCTTTGAAGAAATGTTAAATCCAATCAGATTGATGGGTTTTTAGGTTGGAAAAAAGCCTGATTAGGGTCTGCCACAGTGGGCTTCTTCAAAACCTTTCTTTGGTTTCTTTATCAACTCAGTGGTACATTTCTTAGTCCCCCTTGGATCATAATCTTGCTAAAAAATAAGTGTCCCAAAGCTTAAGGTTACAAGCTGATAGGTAAACATCTAATAAACAATGTTTGGGTGTCAGTAGATGTCTTTTTGTGTCCTTTACGGTCAGCGGTGTTATTGCCTTCTTTAGCCCAGCCTCTTTCTTATGGTTTAATAACACTAATAACACTAATTTTAACTATTGGGTTACTCACTTTTCAAAGTTGTGTGTATCACCTCCATGATTCACAAGGGATGCTTGCACTCCCAGATATTTGGTAGAGGCCTACTGCATTGTAAATGGTTTTGTAAACATTAGAGGACTAAAATATGTCTCTAACTAATTTTTATCTGTTTGTGAATTTACTTGGCTACAACTTTTTGCTTTTGATTTTATTTTTTTTGGATCTTTATACCTACTGATGTCAGATACTTCTTGATCAGCTCCCACATAGGGTCAGGTTGATTTTCATAACCTTTCTTTTTTGTTATGTAATCAAACCTTTTTTTGAATATGCATTTTTTTTTTCTCTAAAATTCGCTTTGTGGTCTGAATTCAAAGGAGGTCAAAACGTTTTCTGCATAAAACATCAGGTCTCTGTAGTTTACATGCTAAAAAATGTATTTCTACTCACCTTCCATCGCGTATTTCATATCCTGAGCAAACAAATTCCACATCACTTCAGCACTTATTTTACCCACATTGAGCTCCTGGGGAAATCTTGAAGGAAGATGAGAATATTTACAAAATTAAATAAGTCAAAGGAAGCCTGGCAGCATTGATTGCTACCCGGCAGAAACTGATGATCATATTGATCTGGGATTCGTTTTAGGGAAAAATGAACAAAGAGGCAAGAATAAAATATAAATACATACTGGTTTAAGCAGGGAGTGTAGGAGTTTTTGTCCTCCTCAATAATGGAAACAATAAGTGTGATGAGTTTGGACCAGAAGTCCAGGTTCTTGATACTGGGACCCTGCTCCTCTGGAGGCACAGCCCCCTGCTTAGCCTGGAAAACACCAACATTTCTTATTAAAAAAGAAAACAATTTTTATTTCTTTTATTTTTAACTTAAGTTTTTTGTAAATATGACTGTTTGCAATCCCAATCTTGTCATAGATATACGTATGGTTACTATGGTTGTCAATCAGTATTACATCAGCATAAACCTTGTTTGTGAGATGCAAACCGCTCTCATTTGTCAAAATTGTACCATCCTTCTTCTTAAAAAGAAATTTGCTTTAGCGAAATATTTATTTAAAAATATTTCAGATTATCTCTCAAATTTCTAAACAACTCTGAAGGAGCCAGAAGAAATAAAGAATGCTAATTATGTCAAAAGATAAAATGCTGTGTTAATTATAGACTTTGAATGATTATATATAACATGTTTAAAATCGCAAATGTAAAAGATGGTAAAACACATAAATCTCTGCAATAAACTGCTTAAATCCAACAGCATTATCAAAGAAAGGATCGATTTTCGTTCAATTGTTTGATCTCTTGTCTGGCTTAAACCTAACCTGGACCTAAATTCTTTTACAGGTGATATTCAGTGGGACTCCATATATAAATAATGATGGCCAATTTACAGCCATAAAAACAGGCTTTGGGAGAGATGTAGGATTTTACAGACAGTCTTTTGAAGTAGCTTAAGATTTGTGGTTATAAAAGTAAAGCTACAGGGTTTAAAAAGGAAAGAATTATCTTGCAGACAGTTATTTCCACAAAATACTTCCACATCCCTCAGGATGAAATGTTTTATGCAAAGGAAAATGCCTTTGAAAGTCAAAGGGAGAGCTTCAATGAACGGTTGAAAGAAGTTCTAGAAATCCCTGTTGAAATTCTCTGTAGAAATTTTGGAATGAAGAGCCTTGTGTAAACAGACTGCAGAGATGAGAGCTCAGGTCAAAGACATGAACGCAGAGCAGTGACAGTGCTTTTAACACATCAAATAAGGACAGCTTAATTGGTGGGCAAGAATGGAGTCCCAACAAGGACACATCTTTTTGTTCTTTTATGCTTCAGGGAAAAGTGCTATTTTTAATAATCACCAAGTAAACCTTCTGAATGAGCTCCAGGTTACGTGATTCAGAGGGACAAAATAAAAACTGAAACCTTAAATCTAAATCAGCCCGTCCTTGGAGCTATTAAAATCTCCACATCAGGGGTTGGAAACTGTTTCTTACGGGTTGTTGTTTTGTAAGTTTAACATGTATTTCTGTGACAAAACACCCAATTAAAATGGTTCAAATATCCCCTGTTTTGAGGTTCTGTAGGAAGAGTTTCAATTGGTTAAGTAGGGAAATACTACAAATACTACGAAATGCAGCATTTTGTTTAAATCTTAGAAAAAAATCAAGTAAAATACTTTATAGGTATACATATAGCAAAGGTAGGATATACATATTTATCTAAATTATTGGTTTCCTTGATACCAATGTTGTGAGAAAATGTCGATTACATAACTGGAACTACTCCGCCTGAAGACACACCCCTCTGGCGGAGCGTTTAAAAGGGGCAACCTCCTGTTGTATTCAGCGCAACTGCTATCTGTCCCTACCGTATCAGTCCCGGAAGCACGCTCCGTACTATTAGCTCATTTGCACATGCACAACCTGATATACATCCAGGTTTCAATAAATAATGTAATTATAGTACTGAAATTACTTATTCTATCCTTATCTCACTAAAGAACGCTAATACACATCTTTATTTAATTTAACTTAATTTTTTTTATGACTTTGCTGAGACAATTTTGATGCTTTTTACATTTTCTCCATTAAACAGCTTGTCTGAAGAGTAGTACGGCAAAATATAATTAAACCATGCTAATCTGCATTTTAGATGTTTCTTTCTTTAGGTTAAGCACTATAAACTATAATGTTAACACGAAAGGAAAACATAAAAATCCCAGAAGTGGCGTAGGATCCCATTTCTGATGCAGATCGGGCACAGACAAGTGATAACACAGGACTTTAAGGTTATTAGAAATAATACCGTGTGATTATTAGTTAATAAAGGTACCATTGTATTTTTAACCTGTGGTCTTTTGTGTTTATTTTACACAGTGAATTATATTTCACTCATGCCAGATTCACTCTTCTTTTAGTAGCATTGGAATGAACAGAGAGACATTTATTTGGTTGGTGATTAATAACTTTGCTTATATTCATAGTCTAAATTACTAAATTGGTGAAAGACAACTGGATTTTTAACAGCTGGATTCAGACGTCCAATCTTTTACGCAAGAAACTAAAAACCCTGATCAGTCAGCAAATTACAGTTATAATCATTCTTTTGATTTGAATGACCTGTTAATTAACTATAACTTCCAGTTATATGCATTTTGTATATTCATGATCTTCTGGTAAACTTTCACATAGTAGGAAACATTTTTACACCTAAATAAGAATTCAGTTCTGTGCTGCTACTACTAACCGGATCTGTTTGGTACTCGCGGCTGTAGAGTTCATGGCAGTTATTAAAGATGTACTCGTAGGTGGAGTTGAGGCAGGCTTTTACACAATCTTTCACAACCTGACTAGCTCTGGGTGGAGACTGGAGCTCCTGAACCTGAAAGTACAAAACAAAACCCTTGATTGAGAGAACTTATCGATCATATATTGTCTACATTGAAAGCAATAAGACGAAAAAAAGAAAAAGCTAAAATAAGTAGGGACTTTACCTTCATTCTGAAGAAGGTAATACTGGTGAGAAGGTCAACTGTGGACTTGAGGTCCTGTAACCTCTCAGGGCTGCTGGCTGGAAAGTTGTTCTGCAGTCAAAGAAGAAAAAAAAAACACCAGAAACACCTTTATTGAGTGTATCTATGGGCAGGATGCAGCACTGTCAACCAATTTTCTCTGCCAGCGAGATCTCAGCTTACAGTGTGGGTGGACAGTTTTTCCTGAATGTGCCTGGACATGTTTGAGAGGAAATGTCACTCTTATTAACACAGTGGCTCTGTTTTTAGTGTTTATAAGAAAAAAATAACAAAACCATCGAAGAACAAACTGATAGACCACATAGAAGATATTGGAGAGAAATATGAGCGTGTGCCCTGACATGAAAGAGCAAGCCTACCCGATACATGGAGAGGTCTATCCTCAAAGAGTTGTGCAGCTGATCTAGAAGCTTGACGAATCGTTCTTTCTGTAGGTTAAACAGAACAAGAGGACAGATTTTCTTTGAGCAGAGGAAATATGCCTCTAGGATAATCTAGATGTAAAGTTTAAGCTACTTAATAAAAAAAAAAAAAAACATACTCTAGAGGTGCATGATTTATTTTTAATAAAACATGTATCTAAAATATCAGTCTTTAGTGGCTTACTCCAAAGTTTGAAGCTGCAAAGCGGTCAGATGCAGAAACGTTGTTGGTTGCCTGGGTGGTGTGGGCGTAATAGGCGTTAATGTTGGCCAGCAGGGTGCTCATGACTGCAGGTACTCCAGGGCACATGTATTTAGACGACAAACACGCAAAGTGGCTGCAAATAAGAAAGGAATCCATGAGAAAACGCTTGATCCTAACAACTTTGAGAACGTCCTCTTTATGCAAAGAGATATTACGTCATGGCTTGGTAGATGGACTCCACTCCATAACGCATGGCAAACTCATCCACTATTTCTTGGGGAGTCTCCTCAAAATAAACTTTCCAAGCATCGTCCCCTTTGGCATCGGGAATCTTCACCACACCAGTGTTCTGGATGTCTGTTACGTAATGAAATAGGTTCTAGAGAAAAAATAGAAAGAACAAAACAAAGTGAGAAAAAAAACAATAAGAAACAGAGAAGAAAAGGAAAATATACCAAAGTACAAAGGTTCAAAATAAATGAAAAGTAATTCAATATTTTTCCCCGTCTTGTGTAATTAGGTTTCATATACATTAAACTGTAAGGTAGCATAGTGCAAGCCCTAAGCCCTTTATGCCTGTTATGATGCATTAAGTGCCATAAAACTACATTATGAGGCCAGCATAAGCTGTTGTGCAGACCATAAAACGCTAGAACACTGAAACACACTCTGAGCCCGTTTATGGGCACTTATGGGAAGCAGTAAGAATGATCATCTGTCAGTGGGCTTCACCTAATATGTTCTGCTGAGTAATGAGCCGAGTAATGACTCCAATGAAATCTTTGACTCCTCTGCAATCAATCAAGTAAGTGTTTCTACACAGAACCATAAAAGTGACTGCTATCTTTACTTTTTGGAAGAAGTACAACTTCATAAAGGAAAACAAACATTAAAGAACACTAGTGTGGAACCAGTCATAAAGAGAGGTATATTATTTTTCATCATGACCATTTCATGTACACAGGCTTTACTCTCAATATATAAAATAATTTTCTTATTTTTGTTTACCTTTCCTAAAACAAGTTTAGGATTGAAAAGATTAATCATGATCTATTGCCTTTAGCAAGTGAACTGCTATTTTCACAGTGGCAAAAGTAGAATAACATTTAACCAGTATGAACAAACTATTTGGAGTGTTGGTAATTCCTGAGTTGTTGAGAAGATTTTAGACTGGAGACAAACCTTATTAAGAACTAACAACTGAAGTTAATTCGAATATGTTTTGATTTATTTAAAGGAGTCTGAGTTATTAACCTGACCAACTACATCCATTCTGTAAAGATGTGTAAATCCTCCATATATTTGGGTTCTCTACCAGCATCTTGGAGCTTGAGGCAATGGTGTACTAGCTGTTCCTAAAAACGACCCTCTGCTGGAAACAGTTTGATGCTGTAGCCACTCCCCCTCTTTAGGGTTTGCTGCTCAATGTGCACCAATAATCACCAATTCTATTAATGTATAAATGTTACAAAAGGGAAATTATTAATTTAGGATTACTACACTTGCATTTATCTTATATTACTTTGGGGATACCATTTCAATGGGATAACATTGTGATATTGGTGATTTTGCTTTAATAACTTAAACATAATTTGTTTTCTCATAGAACAGAAGGACTAGAGTTTGAGTTGTTGTTAAAATTTCAATAATAAATTTGCAGTTTAATAGATGACAAACACTCAAAGGCATAAAATGTGGATACTAATATTCAAATAATGATGGCATTAGGTATCAGGTAGATTCAGCAACACAGCCTTATCGTGGAAATTTCAAGGGAAGAATAAAAATATTCAAAAAACACAACAAATATCTAACGTTTTTACCTCATGCAGACAGGTGTACTGTACGTGATAGGGAGCGACTGTCTCCTCTCCTTTAATCTCCACATTAATGCGCATTCTGATAGCCCCAGAAACGGCTGATTTGTCCGTACGTTTGTCTGTGAAGTGTGCAAAACAAATGGCAGCTACATCACTCAAATTCATCCTCAAATCAGTTTATCATAATGAACCTGAAGATAAGTGAACAAAAAAAGCATACCAAGATTATACCAGACGTCCATCTCTCCGCTAAGAGTCCGAACCTCGATGATTGTCTGACCAAGGAAGTCGTCAGACTCTCTCTTAAACTTCTGCTTCACACGAGACTTAATGTCATCGTCTTCATCCCACACCCGCACCTTAATGCGATCTGAGGAGTTGTGGCATTCGCTGCAAATGCAAGACAAGAGAATAAAGCACAGATTCCAACCATGACTCCAGCTAAATGATTTCAAGGGAAAGAATAAGCCTTTATGCATTTCATGTTTAATGAAATAAACAATTTGCTGCCTTTTAAAGATTATTGTAGACGAGATTCTGAATGAACTACCACTAAATATTTTCTCCTATAAAAGCTACACATTTTTTTTACATTTTTAGAGAAATATTTTGGACTCACAAATTAAATGTTTCCTCCCAGACAGGATTGAGGTTGCCGTAAATAGTTTTGGTCCTTTTTTTGGTCTTTCCCACCTGGACGGTTACATATGGATCACTAGAACCAGTTTTATCCTTGGCTTGGAGACCCTGAGCACACAACACTGAAAAAAAGACAAGAAAAAGAGTCCGGCATCTTAGCTGTGTTTGCTTAGGTGTAAATGGCAGCCTCAGATGACTTTCTGCTCCACTAAACCATAAACGGCACCAGTGTTCCTCGCACACGGATGGCCGTTTGTCTCTTTTTATAGACCCAAACACCTGACATGCTTCTCCTCCTCTGACATTGATGCTGACCATATTGATCGGCTCACTTCACAGGACCCGTGCTGAGCTGTAAGTGGCTCCCCCTCACCTGTGATGCAGATCTTGGCGGACCATTTGGAGGTGCCGTCCAGAACGCTCTGCTTGATCTGCTTCATGTGGGTGACATGGGTTGACTTGGGGACAGCAAACACTTCTTGTATGAGTTCAAAGATCTCTGGTTTGTTCCTCTCGCGGATCTTCATTCGATCTTTAAGAACCATTATGATGTTCTGGGTTCTGTCCTCTGCGCCGTGTTTGGAGCTCTTCTCTGCGGCTCCTGGTCACAGAGAAAGTCAGAATTAGATAAGGGGTTAGAAATAATAAATAAAATAAATTTGGTTCAATTTGGTTGTACAACTTTGATAGATTATACAATAAAATCATTGAAAGATGACTTCTACAATATCAAGAAAATAAATTTTCAACATATTTTAATTCAGGAATGAAAGGACGTTTATGTATGTTAATAAGAAAAACTATTATCTTTTTTTATGAATTTAATTTTAAACTGAGCTCAAACCAATGAAATGCTGAGCAAAAACAAATGAAAAAGAGAGAGCCTAAAGACAACAAAAGACAAACTACTTTTAATATCTTTCACACACTGAACACACACCCTACTTCCCACACACAGACACAGTCAAAAAAAGGAATAGAAAGGAAGAAGGAGGAGAATGACTCCATGCTTGGCTTTGATTATTGAAGAAAGAAGTAATAAATAAACTGCATGTTTTTCTGTCTATAGATACAAAACATTCAGTCAGTGAAACTGCATTGTACACATTATTTCTCCACCAAACACTGCATAATTTCAGCAAATTCAATGCATAGATTTCAGTTTAATGTCTAATTTTTCCAGAGAAATCCAAACAAATGTTTACATACATTCATCATTGGCAAGAAGGTGATATTATTCTGGGCTTTTTTAGTATTTTCTTGGCTCAGTTCTTAGTCTAAATTAAAACTACATGCCAAAATATAACATTCACTGCAGTTAATCTGTAACTAATTTGACTAAATTAAAATACATTATCAAAAGGCATTTTGAGATGAGTAAATTAAAGCACTATAGCACTTCTCTTACTTTGTAGACAGTCAGCATTGAGCAGGTCCTGGCACTTTTCATGGCATTTGACTCCACACTCAGTGCAGCGCATGCCTTGGCGAGCGATACCCCACAGCAGTCCTTCACACTCGTAGCAGTAAGTGGGAGTGGTGGCTGTCCACACTTCAAAATTGTGTGGGGTGGTGCAAGAGATCGGATAGATGAGGGCCTGTAGGGTCTTCTTATAGACATGACTCTTCTGCAGAACAAATGGAAAAGGTTACTGAAGGGTGGTGCTTTGATGCTTCTCACTCAGGATGAGTTGTGTTTGAGCAAAGTGAAAACAGACCAGCTCCTCGTTATGCAGGGTGCTGGACGTCAGGGCTGAAGTAATCCCAGCTTTTCTGGAGTTCTGGACCAGAGACTGGAGGACAGCAAAAGTTACTTAAGCTCACAAATGAAAGGGTTTATTATTGAATTACATTAAGATACCTATTCCCTAAAATAGTATATCTTAGAGAAAGTTACTTCATTTTTCCAATTAAATGTAAATGCCTATCTCTCGACATAAATTAGCATTAAATGGCACATTGTTATACGACTTAAAAACAGTATTAATTAGTTCATTTTGGCAAATAAAAACAATTTATTTTAAAAGACAAAAACTCAGACATTTCCAATAGGTGGCACAGTGTTAGTAGGCAGATACGAAATTTTCTTCAACACAATTTAGATCAAATTAAAACAATGTGTATTTTTAGGGTGAGTAAAGCCATTAATCTTGTATATTAAGTGATGTGAAATGTAGACAAAAATGTGCCAGAGCTCTACTTCTGTACATACTTGTATAGACAGATCAATCTAATGGAAGCAAGTGAGTCATTGTTAATTTTATATATATATATACTATAATCTTTCTCTTCTGTCATCTGTCAGGCCAGCTAACTAAATTGGATATCAGCTGAGTTACATGTCATAATTTTAACTTCAAGTCGCCTGTCAAATTGCAAAAGTACACTAATGAAATGAAAATACTCACCATTGCCTGAAGTTCAGGAAAAGAAGAGAAGGAGGAAAGAGTCAACATTAGAAATAGCAGGAAAAGAAGGGATTAATACAAAAGTGAAACAAGTGAAGCAGTGTTTATTCTAGTAGAGGGAGCAGTTATATTTAATTGGACATTTTGATTGTGAATTCATTTCCATTAATCCAATGTTTTGGTAAAAGTACATTTGTGTGCTCAGAGCAAAAATATTTCTTTCTAGAGCCTGTTTACATATCTTTTCTACCAACAGAAGTTCAGTTTTCTTTTTATTTGATATCTTCTTCATTGTGGCTCTATTCCACTGTATAAGTTGTGCATACAATGATGGTGCTCCTCTTAACAACTGGGATGTCACACATAGTTATTAAACCTGTTTTAAACTTTAGCACAATATTCTAATAAGGTTTTAGAGTGATCTTTCCGCTCTGCATTCATTTGCACTCAGATATCTAATTTTTACTAATTTAGTTAACAAAATACAAGATGCAGTGACATTTAGATGGAGAGATGTGAAGGTAAGGGAACACTTGATGAAGCAGCTTTTGCAACCACAGCTGTTATTTAATAGCTCAACTTAATATTTACTGCTTATTCAGGCAGCACTCATCCATTTCCAATTAATCAGTGAAATAGCTTTCACAAAACAAAGAGTGTGTGCTTTTGTGTGTAAGAATGAGACCGTTGGGGGAACATTACGCAGGTGTGCCAACCCTGCTTGTATTTGAGATTGCTGAGTGTTATTAATAATTAAGAAAGTCATTGTTGGAAATTTTTCGCCTTCAGCACTCCATGGAAAAGACACACTAAGCTTATTATAGTGGTTAATATGTGCCTCAGTAAAGGTCTTCATAACCATTTCAATGTTTCCATATTTAGTTATTTTATGATCAGATTTCATTTTGGTTTTATGTGACAGACTAAAATTATTAAACATATTTTTAATATATATATATATAAATATATAAATATATAAATATATATATATATATATATATATATATATATATATATATATATATATATATATATATATATATATATTTATATATATATATATATATATATATATTTATATATATATATAAATATATATATATATATACAGAATCAATGATAGCAGATTTTTCCTTACGATTTACAGACATATACAATGAAAAATTGAGGTGTAGGTGTATTCAGTTTTACTTAAGTAAAACAAAATGCTTTATAGGATACTATAAATAATCAGTTTATAGACAGATGGCTGACAGTAAAACATGCTAGAACTCTAAAGCAGGACTTAGTTACGGAAAAGTATCCTCTATATTTGTCATCATGAACTAATAAGTCCATAATGATGAACTGATGACTGTACAACTGTACAACATCAGATTGTACAACGCCTCACTGGGGGCGAGGAGGCGACACAGGACAGAGGGAAGCGGGAAGGAGTAGCAACACTTGTATTTTTTCTGTAAAAATGTGAACTCCATATTTATCAGGACAAACAACATAGTGCAAGTGCAAACCATATTACTAGTCAATCTATCCGCCAAACTCCTATATTACATGCACACAACTCCTATTATATACATTGTACTTAATCTGTATTATTTTTTGTATTTGTATTTTTGTATTTGTATGTGTATTTTTTTTGTGCTTAATTTTAACTTAATTTAACGTAATACTTTTTTGCCCTGTAAGCTGCTGGTAACCTTGATTTCCGGAGGGAGTCTTCCCAAGGGATCAATAAAGTAATGTCTAAGTCTAAGTCTAACTAAGTAGTTCATCATTATGGGAAATGTCTGGTTCAACTGCACACCTATAAATTTAACCTTTGGGTCTGCATGAAAAAAGAATCAAATGCGGCGGAAAATAAATGTGAACTTCAGCCTGAGCCTTTATTACCATGATGAAACATGGAGGATAGTGCAGTACTATCGGTGTGAGGATACGTTCCTTTATGAGGACATCATCATCTCTTCAGGGTTGATGGCAACACTGATGGAACTAAGCACAAATCTTTGTCCCATCAACGCTTATGAAAAAGTAAAATGACAACAACAACTAAAACATTTGGAGACTTTAAATTAGTTAAAACCAAGGTAGTAGTTAATCTTTAATGACCATAATGTTATACAGCCAGAGCTACAGTTGGTGTTAAGATATCCATGTAAAGCCCTAAATCAAATGGACAACATTTGGTCAAACTAGAAAAGTTAGCTGAACAGATGCACTTTCACAATCTGAGGAGAGCATGGACTGTTTTGCAAAGAGGAAAGGGTAAAATTATTAGTATTTACATGTGCAAGCTAGGTGACCCCCATTCAATAAATAAATAAATAAAACTGCAGCTTGAATTGCAGTGCAAATGTGCTGTTTCTGTCTACCATGTAAAATACCAAAAAAGAAAAAATACACAGAATTTAGCAGTTAATAATTAAAGAAAATGAAGAAAACCTGTAGGGGTGTTGATTTTTTAGCCTCTGGGTTATTTTAGTTCTCCTTTCAAATAGGAAATTTGCATCAAATTAAGGATCAAAACTCTGAGACAGAGTAAGAAGAAAAGACTGAAGCTGCTTCCAGACGCTTAGCAGAAACTACGCCCACATTTAAGTTACTGAAATCTGTTCAAAGAGCTAAATATGAAAAAAAGCCCTGTTGATATAAAATTCCCTACTAATGTTGAACTAATGCGTTTTAAGACTTGGTTAACAATAGATTTACAAAGAAACACTGTAAGGACAAAAATAAAGAGAGTCTTGACAACAGCCTGGCTATCCCTACAGCTCAGCCAGGCAGACTTAAGCTGCCAGGAAATGCGTTTTACAGGATCCAAATAAGTGGCTGCATAGAGCTTAGACATACAGGAAGAGCACATAAGAAGAATAAAACAAGAAAGAGGGATGGGCTGGGTAGACGTGAGACACTTAGTCTAAAGACAGAGATGAGATTAGTGCAGAAACTCACCAGATCTCTGACCAGAGGCATTGCTTTCCTCTTTCTAAGGTCTGGCATGCTGTCTATGCTGTACAGGGCACCACCCATGCTGACGAAAAAAAGACAAACAGCTTTATTTCAAATATCAGCTGTCAATAATCTGGACACACCACATCAATTATAAACAGGCTTGCCATTTGTTTGAAAAGCTATAGATTTTTAGCCATAATGTTGTGAGCTTCTTATTCCCTTACCCTGCAGATAAAAGCAGGGAGGCAATCCCAACATGTTCTCCTCGGGCCTGTGGAGAAACAGAGGGAGGAATTAAAAATAGCAAGAAGAGTCAAAGTTTGTTCAAATGATAGCATGAGGGAAAATTCTAATTTCGGCTTCCTATTGTCAACAAAAATCAATAGGAGGTATATAGCTTAATGGCTTTTATTAGTGTCCAAAAGCAAAGCTTTTGTCATATTCCAGATAAACATCTGTAAACATTTTATTTAAACTGTTTGTTACACTTTATAGTCATTTTGATGAGAAAGGGCAGGAGTTTTCTCTAGCAGTATGGAGCATTGACTAGACTAACGCAGTGCTTCTCCACAAGTTCTGTGGACTGCCAGTCAGCTGGCTAAAAGAAATTGTTAAAGCAACATTTAAAAGCTGTAAGTAATGCAAATTATAGTTGAATTTAGTAGGTGTCTGCACAGTCTTTTTGCTTCAACTATGTATATAACAATGCCTGTTATGGATATCATAATTATAAATGTAATTAAATTATTGTTTCTGTTTTAAATAAAAGCAATTAGAGCATGTTGAACTTTTTTTTATTTTCTTCTAATACAAAGATACAATGATAGTATGTTTACTCAAGATTCTTATATGATGTCTCAAACTGGTTCATGCCTGGTACTATATGCTGTAGTGCAAAATATCGTAATTTGCATTTGAAGTTTCTCTCCATCAACAGTTTGGAAAAGTAACACTGAAAATAAAAAAATATAAAATCAGCCATTATCATTGTGCTGTGGGGTTGGATTAACTTTAAAATTCCATTGTGAGAATGCTCCAATGAAGACAATATGACACATGGACTAGCTGAATGGAGGATTAGTTCATTTAGGCCCTTCAAACATCTGTACAACAATCTGAGAAAATCTTAAATCAGATGTACTAGAATTGCCCATCTTTAAAGGAATGTAGATGACACAGAAACAGTTTCTTATATTTAGCCAGTATCATCTAATACAGCTTCAACTACTGGCATCGTGAGGCATTGATATCTTGGCTTTCTTAGTAACTTTGCATACAGCTTTGGTGTAGAGATCCAAGGCTAAGCTGAGACCTTAAGACGTCATTGTCAGGACTCTTGTCTGTGTGTTTGTGTTTCTGTGTTTGTCTCCCTTCCTCCACCAGGAGGCGCCTGGTTCTGGTCGGCCTCCTCACACACCTGCAGATGGTTACCTCGTTAACGGAGTGTTCTTAAGCTGCTGACTGCCACTACCTCGACGCCAGAGTTTTTGCCAGTTTTGGGTACTCTAGCCAAGCAGAGTTTTGCTGAGCCAAACTGAGTTCTAGTCAAATTGAGTCTTAATCTTGTTTTTTCTTTGTCTTTGCCTCTCGGCAGGAAGTCATCCGGCAAGCTGGATGTTTTGGACCTTCTCTCCCTGAAAGGATCACCTGAGCTTCAAACTGAGCTAAGGATTTAAACTGGAGGTTTGAATCTACTTTTCTCCAAGAGATCGTTTGAGCTTCACACTGAGCAAGGGATTCATCTCCACTATGGCTCGTTCAAGTGCCGCAGGAATTCTGAGTGGCAGTCAGCTTCTCTGTTTACCTTCAAACAACCGCATTCTGGGTAACTCTGTTCCGCCCTCCACCGTATTAGACAAACACTGGATCTACCGCACACAGACTGGAGTCTAAGAGTCAACCACTTTTCTGGAAACGTGAGTCAGCAATCTACTTCTCTTCTTCAAGTTCGAGAATCAGATTTCCCACTGAGCCTGATCTAACCACAGTGTCTTGCCCTCACTTTCCAGTTCCGGTTGAGCAGTGTTCAGAGCAACACTGGATTCCGTACTATCTCATCAATAAACCTGTTAAACCTTTTCCTTGATCTCTTTGTATTGGTTTACTGCTCTTGGGTCAGATCTTAGTAAAATCATGACAGTCACGTTTTAAAAAGAAACAAATAAAGCTGAAAACCTGAGGGTGAAAAAGGTGAGCTTTGGGTATTGGTACCAAATAATTAGATAAATAAAGTGTTTTAGGCAGAAAAATAACCATGCAATAATTCTTATGATTCAATCCTATCCATAACCTGTGAATAATAGCCAGGTTATTAGTCTGCTTACTTCTTCAAAATAAAACTGAAGCACAAAAAAATATAACTTAATCGCTACCACTCTATGAGTGCTTTTAATGCAGACAGCATAAATTAGAAGGCTTATATGGCTACACCCACCTTACAGTCTTCTCCAGCCATTGGTAATCAGAATGGACTACATGCAAATCGCTACAGGGATGGCAAACAACTGAAAAGAAAATAATGAAATGACGAAAACCATACAACGGGTAAACAGAAACTATGTTAAAGCAAAACATAAGATGCATAGCAGCAATCAAAAAACAAAAATATGGAAAATAAGTCGGAAAAATCTTAAAATGTATAAAATCAAACCCTTTTACATGCAATGACAGTTGCAACGAATCATAGTGGTACAATAGTTTTGGAATAAAGCACATAGGAAATTGGGTTAACAAACAAAAGCACAGACTTTAAACTGGCAGGAAGGCAAGCAAACAGTAATGCAACACTTCAAAACAGCAGTTTGTACCTCTTGCAGCTGTAGTCGTACTCTGCTGAAAAGGCGGAGCCAGTTGGCTTTTGCTCTAGCAGGACCCGGCTCCATGATTTCTCTCTTTGGGAAGCTGAATGAAGGATTAAGAATAAACAACATACTAAAACATACATATAAAAAGAAAAGATTATATAAAGCCATATATATAACACCTAATTTTATTAATGTAGTAGCTGCATGCAAACATATTCAATTTAACAAAAGTAAGCATCAGTTCTACTCAGAATTTTACGTAACTTATCAAAGATGTCTGTTTTTTTTAAAGTCAACACATGCACAAAGTTATACTAACAAGCAGAAATAAATGTATATACTATTTGAATAAATGTATCTTAGCAAGTTGCATCTCATTAAGGAAGCACTTCATTATTCTAGCTAGTTATTTAACCATGCAGAATGCTACTATTATTCGGTTAACTTTTAAACATAGTCCATACAGTTTCAAAAAAGGGCAGGGGGTGAGAATTTAGGAGGGTCGCTCCAAAAAACATTAATTTACTTTAAGATATTGACTTCTGTCCAAATTTCAATCATCTGACACTAACAGACATACCAGCGTCTTTCAGCAGCTGAAACACCAGCTTTACTGTGAAGCAAGTTTCATAGCAACATAGACTATGTTAAAGAATAAAGCAGTACCTATTCCAAAATCATGTTGAAGCAATAAGACAAAGGAGGAGCATTTCAGACTTTTAAACATAAAAATAGTGTAGGATCTGCCAAACATCTAACTGTGAAACCCTAACATATGCAAACACACAGAACTCCATTTAGGTCATAGTTAAAGCTACTGTTGTGGAAACAGTGCATGAAAAAAATACAGGTTGTAGATTGTAAATGGGATGTCATCGATTTCTAATTACATGTGCATGTAAAAGTAGTTGAACAAATGCTTTTGACAGAATGATGAACTGTATCTTTACATTTTCGGAGGAAAAGACCCCCCGAAAAAAAAAAACTTGAAGAGAGCATAGACATTTTATGTCTCCAGTAGGACAAACAGAAAAACTTTACCTTGGAACAGGAGCCTCTTCTGTTTTCTCCTCAGGAGCAGGCTGCAGAGTTTCTGCTGCTGAGGACTGTTCAGGAGGATGAGGTTCCTCCACAGGGGTTTCAGATTTGGGCTCTGGCTCCTGGGGCTTGGTGTCCTGAGGTGGAACCTGGGATGGAATTGTTTGGGAGGATGTTGTCGTGACAGACATTTGTTGCTGTGAGGGAGAAAAGGAAGGTTTGGTGGAATTTGTATCATCAAAGGGCAACATGCTGTCCTGGGAGACTGGAGGTAGTTCAAGAACTGCACTAGACGACTGGGTCTGATCTTGGGCAGGTCTCTGCTGATGCAAGGAGGATTGTTTTTCCAAAGGAGGCCTGGTGGAAGACAGGCCATCAGATGGTGGCATCAGGGTGGGGGTAGGGCCTGAGGGCATTGGGGTGTAGCTTAGCTCCTTTTCTTTGCTTTGTTTGTCTCCTGGTAGACACATATCATCACCATATTGCCTCTCTGCGTCATCTTCATAGTTATACTGCCCCTCCTTGTAAATGTCACCTTCCTCTTCATCATACAGCGCACCCTCTTCCCCTCCATCTTTGAGATAGCCTCCATCATCACTGTAGACGCCTTGGTGGTCCTCCCCATCCCAACCTGGGGAGTCTTCTTTGCCGTAGCTGACAGAGGAATGGCAGGAGTGGTAGGAGTCGTTTTCGTCGTAGAATTCTGAACCTTGAAAGCTTTCGCCATCCTCTGGAGGAAACTCCTCACTAAGCTGAGAGCTTCCTCGGCTCAGCTCGCCTGAAGACGCATAACGGCTGTCTGTGGGACTGAAATGAGCAGGACATAAATACTCGTTAGATACATACAACCTACAGATTTGAAATAGAAATGACAGGGGGTCACTTGCATGATTAGTTAGGTTGTCACAGATAAGGAGTCTGTGCTGGGGCCAGGGAGGGAAACAGCTAATCAAAGACTAGCGCAGCTTACAAAAATGTTAATACCCCTTTAACTTTTTTACATTTTGTTACATTGCAACCACAGATTTCATGGCCACTTATATTTTTTCTTTTCTTTTTTTTTTAAACAAATGCAGATCTTATAAGGGTGGCATACAAGTTATCCAATCTAACTGCATCAATCCTGGTTGGAACTACATTTAACTGCTATTATAAACCATCAGAACAGTAACCTTGTTTCATACCCCTTTTATAAAACTAAAAATATTGTTTCATAACATGATACTGCTTTAAAATCCTCTATAATTTCATCCCAGATCTGTCTGCTGTGTTCCTTGATCTTCATCATCACATTTATTCTTTCACGTTTCCCTCACAAAATGCTGATGCTTTCCCAGATCTGCAGGGTTTATACCGATTAGACTCTGCAGAGGCATACTAAATTCACTGATGTGGTAACCTTTTGGAGCAATTAGTTATCCTGGATTTTATTTAGATGTATCAATGGAGACAATGCATATGTATAACACTCTTTTCAGATCTTTATTTTTAATAAAATCAAAGGTAGAATTTACTTCAAATTCTCTATCAAGCACAACTTACTTTTGGTCTGCAATGTATAATCGTGGCAGAATACATTGAAGGTTGTGGTTGTAAACAGACAAAATGTGAGTTCAAGAGGCTTTTGGTTAGTTATGCATCTTTTTCACAGAAAGATGTGTGTTTTAGAAAAAGAGGAATGTTTTTAAAAATGTTAATTCAAACAGTAGTTAAAATGGAATAATTCTACGTACCAATCCACACCTGAATGCAACACTATAGTAACACTTCTCTGCAGAATAAAGGGTCAACTAGACGTTAAAGAGAGAATTTATTTTTCTTTTGTAGATAAAACGGTGAATTATATATATATATTTAGAAAAAGGGACAGAGCTGTTACTCACAGGGAAAGATGAGTCAGAGATAGTTTGCAGAAATGCAGGACAGGGTCTTCTTAAACAAATTGGAGCATAAACTCACATTTGACTGTTTCATCTATATTGACCACAGTGGTGTTAGTTCGATAAAGCACAGAGCAGGATCAGTATTGGAGAAAACTATATTAAGGCTTTTGGGCTTTGAGCTGGAGGGAGTGCACGCCAGTATGGATGAATGGACACTGAAACAACAACAGCAGCTCTCCTTTTTTTATATCAAAAATCTTTATCTGACAAAGAATGACTCAGATAGTGACACATTCTGCATATTACTTCAGTCTAAATACACATCTGACCTCTTCTTTTTTGAGAGAAGATCAGTCTACAAACTGAAGGAAGAAAATAAAACTAACTTACTTTAGCTTCTTTGTTAAGGCACCATTATTGGAAATACAGCCTTTTACTGTCTAGCAAGTGGGATTTAAATGCGTATAATTATCAAGTGTGGAACACCCAGCACAAGACAGGGCCCTTCCTCAAGTCTCACATACAGGGTGAGGCTGTAATAACAAGCTGTCATGACAACAGATGCGCACAGACTCTTACAGGCGGTCCCAACAACTCCAGCTAACAATTAATCCATCTCCCCCCAATTGTTATGAAAAATCAGACATGTACACACATCCTGTCAATCATTCATCCCCTTCCCACACACACACACACACACACACACAAAAACAAAGGCTGCAAAGGTTTTCTAGCAATAAACAGAACGCACCAATGGTTTGATCTGAGAACTACCATTTTCCCCCAAAAACATAATAAAGACAGATGAAGAGAGAATAGTCTTCTAGAAAACTATATATATATATATATATATATATATATATATATATATATATATATACATATACAAAGATAGGATAAGAGCACATGCATGCAAGCACATCGAGCGAGGAGGACGGGACAAGTCCATCACTGACGTCACAGCGAGACGGTGTCACAGGCCGGAGCAGGATTAGGAAGAGGAGGATATTGCAGAGGAGGCACAGAGACCCACCTATCGGACAGAGAGTGCCTACTGTCTAGAGAATACTGACGACTGGTGCGCCGGCTCGACCCCGAGCCTGAGTCGATATCGCTGTGCCCGTTGGTGGCAGAATCTAAACTATCATAGCGTCTGGCAGGAGGAGTAGGAAGGGAGGTGGGGAGGAGTGGAGAGGTGGAAAAGGAGCATCAGTAGAGCTCAGTGCAAATAATTCATATAAAAGTTCTAGCTATTCTGATCCTCTGACCTGCCTGGTTAAGGAATGGTTCACAGCTTTAATTTAAAGAGCAATGATCAGATGGCCACCTGATAAGCTTTGCTCTCTGTTATCTTAGTCCTGGTGAGCACCATTAGTAATTCCACCCCCCTAAATCACAGTTCAGATCAGTTGGGTAAATTTCAAGTATTTTATTACACTTTTTCCCCTCTTCTACTTAATAAGAGATCTAATAAAAATAAACTAACTTGTGAGGCAAAATCAAGCTTCTATCTTTATGGTTAGGACTTAAAAGATATAAACATTGTACAAAGTATATAAAAAAAAACTCAATTGTTCTAATGTTTTGTTAAAATCATAGATTTCCATATTTGTTTATGGATATTAAGCTATGACCACCATAGGATGACGTATTATCTTGAATAAAATGTACAGGATTTATGGCTTACAAGAGGTTTTATGAATAAAAAATAAATAAATCAGTGTTTTTATAAAACACATTAATTAAGGACTGCAATACTGACTCATTTATAGTCTAAACAATCTGCTCTTTAATATAAAAACTATGTTTTTAACATTATATAAAAAGTTGGAACCTAATATGCATGCAAGCCAACATCTTTGCTAATATTTCACTGATGTCAGCAGGCTTTTATTTGGGTGCATCAAAGCAAATAGGGCTTAAAACAAAACAAAACTTCATATCTCAACATGTAAAAATGGTTTATTGTGTTTCCTCTTTATGTTTATACTGTGTTGGTCTGTTGCATCAAAGTAAATAAACATATATCACACATTTATATCATGTATATCTATTGCCTAAGACAATCGAAATGTATACGCCAACTCCTTTGAGATGCTATTAGTAGAAATCTATAACAGAAAGAAATATTTTTGCAGCAGTGAACCAACCCCTAAATATTCTAAAAAAAAACATTGCACTTGAACATTTACTTTCCCACCGAACTCCTTGCAAAAACTGAAAATCTAAGGTAGATTTAAGATTTTCTGAGAAGTACTTGAGCTTTAATTCTCTGTTGTTCTGTGGAGAAAAATCACATGGGGTTTCAAGCTTCCACACATGCATACAAAAGATGCAGGTGGACATTCATACATGACCTGTATACAAGAACTCTGAGTCTCAGTATGCTTGTATACTGAGGGTTGTTGTCTGGAGGAGGAGAGCACAGTGGGAGATGTTACCATGTACAACATCCAAACAAAACAAGGCCACATCAGCTGGGTGGTCTCAGACGTCCAAGGGGATTTGTTGATTAAACTTATATAACTTAAAAATCTTTTGGGGTTTTTCATTCTTCTGCTGTGAAAAAAACAAACAAACTTAAAACAAAAAATAAACATGACCACCCCCACACATCATCAATTAGACTCCAGAAATATATATTCGGCTGAATTTAGAGCATTTTTAGCATGCCTGTTACCTCATGGTTCTGAGATCGTAGTCCAGATCATGGATGTCATCGCTGTAGGAGTGTCTGCAGTGTTGATTCCGCATGGGGTACTGGTGCATGGAAGCGTTGGGCTGGGAGGTGGTGTAGAAGGGAGGCGGGATGCTGTTACTGGTCTCGCTACGGTAGTCGCTGTCCCTGTCATCGACAGCACTGTCTGGGTCCTCATCTGTTTACAGCAGACAAGACAGCGAGGGGATGTGAGACTTAAAGAAATGTTGGAAATAATTTTGTTAATTAGAGATTACATCAATGAAAGCAAAGGTTTTTAAAAGATTATGATAATTAATAGTCAATGTAGGCTAATAAGGGGAAAATAGGAAGCCGTTCAGAAACAAAGCCATTAAAACCTTCTGTAACTGAGTGGGATTCAAATAAATTTAGATTAAAAATAATAATAATTAGTAATTGAACTAAATTGATCTAACATTGGAAAACTTTACCTCTGCATTTAACCCATCCCCTTTGGGGGCAGTGGGCTGCCATTGTGCAGCGACCGGAGAGCAATTGTGGGTTAAGAGCCTTGCTCAGAGAGCCAGAGTGGCAGTCTGTGGGAGTGGGGCTCAAATTCAGAACCTAAGGATTCCAAGCTCTATGCCCTAAATGATAGGCCACCATTCCCCCAGATTAGAAGTTCCCACTGGATGACCAAGGATTTATTAGTTTAAAATACTTCAGACAATGATCTTATAAAAATATCTCTCCAATTATGTTTTCACAAACTGTCTTTAAAATTTAAAATAAAACCCTTTTTATCTAAATTTTGAATTTTGTGGGCTTCTAGTAGCCATATCAAGGGATAAACACACAAATATGTACATATATTAGCCTGTATGATCCCACCACAATTGAATAAAAAAAAAAAACTTGTACTACCGGTAGTTCTTTTTATAAATAAAAAAATATATATTTGTAAGACATCTATCGCCTCACTGTGTGCATGTTTTATCTGCATGGGATTTTGTATGTTGAGTGCTACTTAATGTAGATGCAGATTTACCTTTAATGCATAAAGCATTGCACAGAAGCTGAAATAGAAACAGTTACCATATTCTATATGTCTCTATTTATCTTTTTATAGCTGTTACTACGATCTCCAAATATCTGTCTGTGCATAAGCCATGTTTCTTGATAGAAATCAATTTTTATATATCTAATGCTTTACTCAAAATTTTAGAATATAGAAAAAGTTCCCAGCAGGGCAAAGATTTTCAGGTAGTTATGATCTCTGAGAAAAACTGCAAAAGGAAATAATTTCACTGAGATATGGACAATAAATACACTTACACAAGTCATTAGCAGAAGTGCATGACATGAACTTACTCTGCTGGTCTCCCCACAGACTCCAATTACCTGTGCAGAGAGAAAATGTTTTAGAATTGACTTACAGATATAATTCAAGCACATTAAATTAAAATAACCATGCAGAGATCCACACAAACATGTAAAGTTCTGTAGCCTTGAGGAATAATAATCTTTCAATGTAAATCAGCTATCTTAGAAGTTATGAAAGAGGTGACTGGGTGCATAACTTTGTTAGCAAAAAAAAAAGAAAAGAAACAAGGCTATTCTACCAGCTTATATAAAAACTGACTTTTTAAAAGCAGCTGTCCTTGACGATTCCAAGTAGCTGGAAGCAGAAAACGCATACATGCTATTATAATTTACACAGACACAAGCCACGTTTGCATAAAGAGGTAGATGAGCCGTATTAAGTAGACTTCTACTGCACATGTCTCTCCATCTGCATCCTATGTCACCATCACTGGATGCTGTGATAGACAGGGAAAGGCTGTGTTGGACATGCAGCATATGTCAACTCGATTTCATCACACCTCCATCCTCTTAAAATCATTTTGGAGCTCAGGCAGGCATGCATTCATGATTAGTCACGTCATCTTCCTTTGCTTTCGTCACTCTATCCGGTGTTGAATCTAATAGCTTTATGTCTACCTTCTGCATAGCCTTCTCAATGAGTCAGGGAAAAAGAGCAGAGGGAGTGGGAAGAGTGGAAAACAGGACGCATGAAACGGACACAGCGGCAACGGCGCAGAGGGAGGGGGATGCAGAAGAAGGCGGTGAAACTTACAGCACTGAGTGGAGGGGGCATGGAGTGATTGCTCTTGTTCTTCTTGGTAGGCATACTGACGTTAGAAAAGAAGCAGCGGAAACAGGCATGTTAGGGAAATAACATTAAGATATTAGAAACACAGGGAGATCTTAACTCTGGAAGATCTGCTTGTTTTACGGAAATGGAAAATGTTCAGAAACATTATTAGAGCTATGACGCAAAACAGAAACAACATTAAATAAGATTGGAAAACTACATTTTATGGATAGTCAATTAAAAAGTTAATGACACGTGGAATTCAGTTAACAGTTTGTGCAAAAAAAGGAGAAATTCTTACATCTTGATCTCTCATTGCATTGAGTTGTTCAAGTTTCTTGGCCCAGTATCTGGCCTCTTCCTCTGGAATGTCTACAGAAATACAAAAATAAATTAGCCCAGTTACAATTTAAAGAAAATAATACATGTTTCCATGTCATATTACAGGCTTTAAATGTTGGAGATAATGCAGGCTCTAAAGAAGCTGGAGGTCTATCACAGAGTGAATGAAAAGGTTTGTATAAGTGTTCCTAACCAAAGATGGATTCTGTATTTTTCCTGAAAAGGTCAAAGTAGGATGAACTGATAAATATCTTAAAAGCAATTAAAGGAGAGTGAATATTCTTTAATACAATTTTAACAAAGCCTGTTGCCATGCTCATAAATCTTAAATAAAGGTTGTCAAAATAAAATATATTCATTAAATACTGCAGCTGCATAATGTCAGACTGAAAATAGAAAAAAAATCTATATTTTTAGTTTTGAAATTGCATCCAGAAGGGAAATAAATTAAATCTCAATGAGTGATTGATTTCTTACCAACTCTCTGGTGTCAAATGTGTTGAAACTGAAATAAGTCTTATTTGAATGTTTAACTTTAGAAATTGATCAGGTAGAAACTTTCACAGCTTTTACTGGCTTCCTGTTTTTCTGCAATGTATTAATGTAACATGAGCCGGATTCCTTTTAGCCACAATTCAAAATGCTCCAGATGAGAGAACAACCCATTCAACAGAGGCAGATGTGTCTTGACTTTCAGCAGTACAAGTAAAAAAACAAGAGACCCCTAAACTTAAACACGTCTGCAGCCAGAGCAACTTTAAAACCCTTGGAGCTGTGAGAAACAAGCTTGGAGAAGGACATGATGATGTATTTGATTTATGCATAATGATAGACTAATGATTTATCTTGCTGTGGTGTATAGTGAGGAGGATGGTAAGTGAAGGATAAAAAACTCCAGCTAAAAAAACAGCAAACTATTTAATTCTATCATCCTAAATCTAAATGTTAGCTCAACATTTACTGGACTATGAAGCCTTGTCAGAACAACAGCACTTTGCCACTAGGCCTCCACTCCCCACATCTTTACTAAGGATAATATTACCTGTCCAGAAATAGAACATATATTCAGTAAAAACTGCAGTTTCATTTGATTAAATTTAAAAGAATATACAATAAAAACAAAGTCACCAAAAAGAAAAAAACATGCATTTAACGTAGAGAGAAATATGATGAAGACCAAACCTAATGGCAGTTCAAAGCGAGTGTCTAGCAGCAGCCTGTGAAAGGTCGGGTCTTTGGTTCCACAGATCTCGTTCTCAGCCATGATCACATTTGAGTCCAGGGTAAGCCACTGGCCTGGACCCTCCTGAAGAACACAAAATAGAACAAGAAAGTCAAACAAAAGAGCATCATTGTAAAATGCTAACTCAGAAGAATAGAACCAAAAAGTTCATATTTCCTGTTTCTTTTTAATTAGAACAGATGGAAAATCCATTTGTTGGCCCACAATAGGGAAATTGTGGTCTTACAGCAGCAACAGGTTATAGCAGAAGTGAACACACAATGTGGACCTTAGAAAGTGTATAAATGTAACAGAATAAGTAACAGAGTTAAGAAAATAAACAAAAAAATACCATACTGTACAGTGTTTTTATAATATAAATGCTCTGTTTATAATAATAAACAGAGCATTTATATTTACAACACAGAAGTGTTTACCTATCACATATTGATAGTTTGATGACTCTAAAAGTCCGCTGCTTTGCCTGACTTTTTTTTTTGAATCTATAAATGTAACAATTGACAATTAACAACAATGTAACTGTTTTTAGATTTAAGGTGCAACCTAATGAAGAAAATAGAACTTCTGTCTGCAGAAAATGGTATACTGAATGACAGTATTAAACTGATAGTAGGAACTTTTGAAAGCAATAATTTTTCTTTAATCTAAACCCAGATATAATCCCTGAATCATTATTACTAATGAAAAAAATCGAGAAAAAGAGCAGGAGAAGGACCTCGTTGGACTGTCGTATGCTGTGCAGGGGGATCCATACAGTTCCCACCATGGTGTCCCAGATCAGTCCTTTGTTCCACACCTCCACTGTGAGGCCTAGATCCAGGCGGTTTATCTCACTGTGTAGCAGAAAGAGTAAATTGTAAAAAAAAAAAAAAAAAAAGATGTTCTTTATCGAAAAAAATCAATCAGCATAAAGGGGAGTTGATTGTCAACGAAGCTATTGCGAGGTTTGATAAGAGCAGAGACTATGTAGAACAAGAATAAAACAACTTTTCCCATAGCAACACACTGAAGAAGCTAATGTAAGAAACATAAAGCTCCAACATGAAACTGAAAATCTTCAGCTTCCTCTGCATCTCTTAAATTTTAGCAAGAGGTTTTTGTTTTAACAGACATCTTTAATAATTAAAAAACTTTGAGTCAAATGTTTTCTTTAAAGAAACAACTAAAGTGTTCCTCCTTGAATGGTAAAGCAGTGCCAGAGTCATGAGTCAGAGGGAAAAACCTTTCTGAAGAATAATAGAATCAATGAAAACCTCTTTATGAAATATGTGTTTTTGGAGATTGACAGACAAAAAGACATATTGAATGAGGAAATGAGTGTTGAATGTAAGACACTGTACATGTAGGGGGAATAAAAGGACTCACAACATGAAGTCCTGTTCCCAGCAGGGTTGACTGCCTCGCACAGCGATGGTTGTGCTTTTAACATTTTGCACCTTGAGGGTCACGTAAGTGTTAAATTTCTCTGTAAGAAATTAAATTGATTATACTTTCTGTACAAGCCTATCAATCAGCTTCAACGATAAATGCTGTGTATTTAACGGTCATTACTCACCTTGGGGTCCATCGAGCTTTCCTTTCTTTACTGTGAACGAAATGATAAAAAAGCAAAAAACAGAACATAGCATTAGTCTGTTTTATCATATTATCTTAAAGAAGCTTTATACGAAATATAAGAGTATTTTGTATGAAAAATGCTTTAAAATGACCCATATTTTGTCGCTTTGTAACAACAAACAAAGAATATACTTCATCAAGAGATTTTTTAAGATTAAGACCAAGTGGCACAAATCCATGTGCCAAAAAACTGGCACATGGATTTCAAAATTTAAACAATGCATGCATTTCATCCCTTACGTTAATACTGTAGAACCATCTTTCACAGCAAATACAGCTGATGTATGTTTCCACCAGCTTTGCACAGTTTTTGCCAAGTATGAAAAAAAGAACTAGCTCAACCCTTGACTGACCCGATGGATATTGTCTGTAACAATGATCCAGGGATTTTATTTATTTTTCCTTTACAGCAGCTTACTGGTACTGTATACAACTGCCTACCCCATTCTATTAAGACTGACCAGCTGCCTCAGCATGATGCTGCCACAACCATGCTTCACTGTGGTAATCATGGGGGACTGTTCCGCTGAAAGTCTGTTTGGCCACCACGTTATATTAAGCGAACAGCATTTCTGGTTTGTGTTATATTTCTGTTCGAATCATTTCATTTTGGTTGATGATTTGAATGGTGCTACGTGGGATCTTTAAAGCTTGGATTCTGTTCTATCCATGATCAGACAGCTGTGTTCTCTGGTTTAACATGATGCTTTTTTGTTGTTTAACAAGCATTTAAGGACTTTACAGAACAGCTGCCTTTACAGTGAAATCAAATAACCTACAGGTGACACACTGGTTGCACTGGACTTTATGTAGGAGTATAGAAGTAAAGAGGGTTGAATATTAGTCCACACTACATTTTCTACATTTTCAATAATTAAATAGTTAGTTGTTACATAAAATTATAATATATTGTAGAGGCCTGGACAGTTTAGAAAAAAAACACACACACACACACAAAATAAAAAGAGTCTTGCACCAATCTTAACCATTGCCTTTGCCTCACAGAGCTTGCTGGTGACTGACAGCAGTTTGGCATTTTAAATATAAGGTGGGTGGTCTGCTGTCCTCAGGCCGGGATTCCTCTGTTCTCTATGCATAGAATGCCAGGATCTCAATATGAAAGACTGAACCCATTCAGTAGATGTCAGAGTCTCTGAGTCATTTATTGAAGGCTAGAGGAACAGTTTGCGCAGGTAAAAGTTAAAGGTTGAGGGAAAAGCCTCTTTTGCTTCTTACCTCTTTAAGTTGCAATCCCCCATTTTTTTTTAACAGGACATGACAAAAAAAAAAAAACGTTATTATCTCTGAGATAATCAACAAGGTACTATCAATGTCAGACCGCCAAACCTCTTTCACAGAGTCCTACAGAGGTAGCATGGCTTTTAAAACACCAGTGATGTCAAATCTGTATTTATTATTCATTTAATTTTGACCCCTACTGATGTTTACCCCTTTCTGTTCAGCAGTGAAGTATTAATATTCAGAGAGCTGATATTTAATCCCTGCTGATTGCCTGTTTTTATTCATATTACATGTATTGTAGGAGACTTTTTTATTATACATTTAAACTTTAGTTGTCCAAAGACTATATGAAACATATGATAAAATCTCTGTTCTCATATTTATAGCTACTGTGTTTTATGTATAACACAGCAAACAGCTTCAGTGACTGAAAAAAAACGACTTTGGTTCATAAGTTAGATTTTCTTGTGTATTTCTTGTGAAACAATCAAAAAGGATCCTCTTCACTCCTCAGTATATCATTTTATCCACCATGGACTAATAGCTCACTCTTTATCACGTCTGACTATATAATTATTTATTAGATACCATTTGGCTTATTCACAGACACTGACTAGCTACAGTCAAGGTGAAACTGGATTACATTTGAACAAGCATTTCTTTCCTCATTAGCAGCATCTCATTTACTAAATACTAAACAAAATTTACTTAGGACCATAAAGCTGTTAGAATTGAGCCTTAGTGGTTTATGATTTCCATAACATCCCAAAAAATGCTTTCATGAGTAGAATAAATTGCATCAGATTGTTAAAAATTCCCCATAGTAAACACATGGGAACTAATTTTGGAACAAAGCAGGCTAAACGTAGATTTCTGAAATTGCTGGAACTCAACCCTATTGTAAGTGTGCAGACTACACCTAAAAAGAGGAGTCTATGCAAGAAAACCAGCCAAGTTAAAGGAACTCTATCACATCTGAAAAGCAGAGAGGTTAAATAGTCAGCTATAATTTGGCCAGCATCTTATTTTATTCTAGATCTGAAAAATAATATTACAGTTTTAGATGAATCATGTATTATACACAACTGTCTGTGATGGTAGTAAATGAATATAAATCAATTTTGTCTTGTAAAGAAAAAAGCAAATTGAACTTGGAAAGAGGTGATGACAAAGCAACACATTCTGAGTAATTTTCCCTGTCAGTGAAAATGAGAATGATAATCACCGTGGTGCGACAGGTTTCTTAAAATAGCATTTTCCACAGAAAACCTCCGGGATAACGCCTATCTCTGTCTTAACCATGGGCCCTGAATCACGATTTAGGTGGTGGTTTAGTGGAGCATGTGTTTCACAGACTACTCCAAAGGAAAATCCTCCTCCAGATATTTACCTGCTGGAAAAGCATTCCTATCCGCAGGGTGAGGTGGAATCAATCCAGTCAATTCACATTTTATCAACATGTGAGCACTGACAGATCCACCTTAGCGTCTCACTTGGCAACCCTCACGCACAGCGTCCTGTCCTCATCCAGTCATCGCCCTTTTCCCTCTCACTCCATCACTGACTCCCACAAGCCTCCCCTACCATGTGGCGAGTGTGCACGTGCGCTCCCTTTCTATCTCTTTTGCTTGTGCTCTATTAATCTCTCTGTGGAGCCGCCGGATGCAGTCAGAGTGAGCTGCATCCCCAACTCTAAAAATAACCACCCTAGTGTGACAGGGCTGGGGAGAGGGGTGCTGGAAAGAGAAAAAAAGGGTGTGTGTGTGTTTGCGTAGAAGGGGAGGACTATATGCTGTCAGGCATGAGACTGAACCAACACTGCTGCATTTATGGCACACAAAAAAAAAAGGAAGTGTTGTTTATTCTGTTGATATGCATCTGGATAATTGACAGGAATCCATCTCACAAAATTTGAATTAGTTGGAAATAAATCATGTATATTCTACAATCTATGTATATTCATATCTTTATTCTTAGAAATAATTACAGTGAAGAGACAATTTCATGCTTCTGATGCATTCAGAATTTCTTTTTTCAGAAGTTGGAAGGATTGTGCAACAAACAACTTCAGAGGATCTGGAACTAAATTTTGCTTTCTTTGTGCTTTTCTTCTGATTGAAACAGAATATTTTTCTTACATTCTAACGGTATAACTGGGGTTTGATGTTTAAACTTGGACACAGCTGGATGCTCCAACAGGTCAAAGTCCCCAAACACACATAAAAATCAGTTGTAAAATCAGAAATAAGGCCCCTGGAATGGCCCAAACTTAAACTGTGTGTCAAGACAACATTGTTTGAAAGAAAGCTCTATGGCAAGAAACAATGGAATAAATAAACGATCACTTTGCATAAAAAAACAGCCAAATGTACAACTAGAATTATGGTAGTAGCTTGGTAAAAGAAAGAGATGTTGTGCAGTTTCTCTATAGATCGCTAAGAAAGCTTTATTCATTTATATTTGTATACATGTATACGTAATTAAACTAACATGAAATCTTTTTGTATATGTTTTTAATACATCAGTGAGGTTGCTCTTAATATCCGATTGGATCCATAGAATAGTTTAGCAATTTATTTGTATAGCACAGTTTAGTAAAGAGGAAATTCAAAATGTTTTACATGAATTAAACAATATTATATAAGGAAAACAAAATATGGGATATAATGTCCTGTAATGTCCCAAAATGAATATCCTGGGATAATATGGATTCGACCCCACTTGGGACAAGCGTGTAAAGAAAATGGATGGATGGATGAATATGGATTTGATGGTGCCTCACTATAATTATTTTTATTTCCACTTTTTATGATTTTATCAAGCCTTATCAAAAAAAAATCAATATTAATTTAAATGAAATGTACTTATTAATAAATAGATGCAATAAATAGAATATAGCACTGATTTTATGCTTCTACTTTGTGATTTTCTGGTGTGTATTTTGCAATCTTGCAGCTGGGTGTCACGATCAGAGTGGCTGGCAGATTTAAATATGCTTACTCAGCCCCAGTGACACAGTTTATTATTTTGCAGATTACTTCTGACAACATGAGACATGGAGAGGGTAAATTACTCTGAGTAGAAAATAATACAAGACCACTGAAGCAAAGGCTTATCTTTATCCTTATCCCTACAGCAAACATTAAACAATATTTTATCAATGTAAACATAGCAGATGGCCTTCCAACAGGTCTGAATAAAGTACTGGGAAAATGCATACAATAATCTTTAGTACTGTGGAAGACATTGGAGCACAAATAACACCAGAGCTCATTCAGCAACAACTGATGGGTGTAATTTGAAAATAAACATACAAAAAAAGAGTAGCTTTGAAAGAGAAGTTAATTGTGACCGAAATGTGTAAAAAAAAAAAAAAAAAAAAAAAAAAAAAAGATGAAAGGTAACTGTAAATAATAATGTACAGTCATTGAAGGATACAGCATCTAGTACAGAGGCTTGAAAGTTTGGCAAACATTCATAATGAACATAAGCAAATTGTTGCTTATTCTTATTGTAATAAGAATAATTCAGTAATTTCTACAAGTGGGTGGCAAAGAAAATACATGTTATTCTGTACTTGAAGGATGTGACGCTGTCCCCTCATGCCTGAATAAAGGTTTTTAAACTTTTGATTGGAGAGATTTGCACAAAATTGCCTCCACTATTTGGATTCAACAGATATCCTTCTTGCTCAGTGGCTATTACTGAGTTAGATTAATATTTTCATTAGGTCAAGGCAAATGTTTGACATGACTATTGTCTGGTTAGTTGATTATCCCAGCTTTTTTTGTTGTTGTTGTCAGCATTCACTTTTTAGTCAGGCTTTGCCTCATAAAATGGAGTATGCTGTTTATGCTAGGAAGGTTTATAACAAAATATCTAAGGAAGGAGAAGTTAACGCCATCATAACGCAGTTCTACCTGTGCTTTAACCAGGGTCAATAAGGAAGGGGCAGGGCTCTGCATATGCCCTGTTTTAAAATGGTTTCAATTAGCCCCTTGCTATTGATAAATAACCCCTTGGATCTTTTTTTTTTTTTAAATAATGTGAATTATATTTTAAGATTACTGTCTTACTCGAGAAAAGCCCTGTTTCATATCAACCTCAACACCAAACCTACACAAGTATCTTTCTCCTGGCAACTAGTAAAATCCCTCTCTCCCTCCCTCTTCTGTTAATCCAGGGTCGGGTCATGGGGGTAGCATCTTCAGTAGGGAGGCCCAGACGTCCCTCTCCCCAGCCACTCCCCCAGCTCCTCCGGGGGAATCCCAAAGTGCACCAGGCCAGCTGAGAAACATAGTCCCTCCAGCGTGTCCTGGGTCTCCCCCTGGGCCTCCTCCTGGTGGGACGTGCCTAGAACACCTCACCAGGGAGGCGTCCAGGAGGCATCCTTACCAGATGCCTGAGCCACCTTAACTGGCTCCTCTCGATGTGGAGGAGCAGCGGCTCTACTATGAGTCCTCCTCGGATGACGAGCTCCTCACCCTATCTCTAAGGGAGAGCCCAGACACAATACATAGAAAACTAATTTTGGCCTCTTGTATCCAGGATCTCGTTCTTTCGGTCATAACTCAAAACTCACGACCATGGATGAGGGTAGGAACATTGATCGACCAGTAAATCGAGAGCGTTACCTGTTGGCTCAGCTCTCTCTTCACCACAACCTACAAACTCCTATTAGCCACTGGATGGTGAGACAGAGTTACAACCAATTGTTCAAGAGGACAAATTACCACGCTCTGGATGCAGCTCATCCATGGAAAACCCATTTCATGAAACCCTGTTCTTAAATTAATCTGAATTCTTCATTAAATTTGAAAGGTCTGTAGCTACTGACTCTTTAGGAAGCTGCTGACCTCTTCCAACCACGAGCCTCATCATCCACTGACCTCTGCTGAGGGTCTGATGTCACCAACCATTGTGTAAAAGAGTCATTGTCATCCCAATCTGCTTCCATTCTGTCATTAGACCAAGTACCAGTTGGATTTAAAATATTTAGAAGTGGGAACATTCAGTGATATGGAGGAATTACCCATTACTGCTATCAATATAGTTTAATCTTCTAAAAGTATATCAACATACTGTACAGATCAGTCTCGTTGAGGTCTTTAGAAGTCTCCTTTTCATCATAACACAAAGCAGAAAGAGTTTGAAAGAAAAGGCATGGATAGATTCCTGTAAAACATGTTTGATCATTCCCCTTTCATCATCTGAATCGATCATCACCAACGCATCAACAACCAATCAACCCTAAAAAGCATTAGATTAATAACCTGAAGGACTCAAGTTACATAAATAAAGAGGATCTTCATGTTTCTCCTCAAATAAGTTCAATGTTAATGAGTGCAAATCAAAATGGCTTCCTGAATAAAAAGTAAATTGCTGTCAGCAGCTTCTTTAATCATTTATGTATGTATCTGTCCATGGTCCAAAAAGTGTTAGACATTGAGTACACTTGCATTAGTTTTATGTGTCTGTTTTACACTGCTATGTTTTCTTAGACCAATTTAAAATAAACCTATTCAGCTCTTGATAAAATAAAAGGACTTTATCAACTTGATGTCCATAAGGCTCCAACTGGCTCTCTTTAAATCCACACCCTTAAAAGATTGCATCTCCTTTCAGATCTAAACTCTGTTTTGATATAGGCTATCACCAGAGAATTACAGCAAATAACATAAAAGTTGTAGGAAAAGCAGCAAAAACAGTTTATACAGCACTGAGCTAAGTGAAGTTTACATCTTGATTAAGTATATTTGTTTGACAGAGGTCGCCAGGACACCACTGGACTAATCTGTAATATCGATCCAGTAGGAGCAGTGCCAGGTTCTGTAATATCCTACAGAAGAGTCTTTAGACACTTTCTTTGGGGGAAGTGTGGTAAAATAAGCAGATGCATTAAAGAAATTCAGAATTTAGAACTGTATCTGCACTCTTTTCACACCAAGAACATGTATATTGCATTTTTAACTTTCTACACAGCATTCACTAACGTGTTCTCTTGAGCTATTTTAAATGTTCAGACCAGCTGGTGGAGGAAACTGACAGAACATCATGCCAAGACATTATACTGTTAGACGCTCCTTACCTCCAACGCACAACAATGACATTTCTTATGAGCTGCTTTATTCCAGGGTCCAGCTACTTCACTAGTTCCCTAATTGGTAGAGATGATCTTTGCAAAGCCCAGCCCAGGGATGGAGAGCAGCTGGGCTGGAGGTGGGTGAAACCAGGCGTCGCTGTTCAGTAGCGGCAACGTTGCCCGGCTGGCTTCGTGACAGCTAGTAAAAAAAAAACACATAAATGAAAATAAAAAAATAAAAACAGACGGTAGACACTTCCCTTCGCTCAGACGGAGAACGCCCTGTCCCTTTTCTCTTTTTGTGGCGTGTTTCGCCGCCTCTTTCCACCCCTCCCCGCTCTCTCTCAGCTCTCCAATCCCCAGCTAACAGCCATCTTGTTCAGCTTCAGCACCACCAGCTGCGCGGACAGCAGTGACGTCAAGGCGCGTGGCCATGGTGCGGGGCTTGTTTCATTACTCTTCAAAAGGTTTTAATAGTAATAAAAAAACTAACAATAATAACAAAATAAATAATAAAAATTGTAATAATTAAATAATAAAAATAAATTGTAAAAATTGTAATACATAATAAAAATTTATTAATAAATAAAATAATATTAATAGCAATAATTACATTTGTGACTTACATTTGTATTTGGAGCGCTCTGATCTGATATAATGAGCTCCTGAATGTGATGTAATCACATTTAACCAACCTCTGTTCTAAGAAGTCCACAGATTTTTCTTGAGGAATTTTGATGCAAGATCATCCAGGGACACCCTAAACTGACCAGATAAGGCATGGGTGTCCTAATTCTGTGTGGTTAAGCAAAGCAATAGCCACAGAAGTCAATAGGCCCCTTGGTAAGCTTGGAGGGGGTGCATATATTTACACCTCAGGTGCTAATAATGTTTCCAGGTAAACCAGAAGTCATTTAATAATGCAACTACAATTAAAACAAAACTTGGCAGATATTTGCTCTATATGTGACAACCCCAAATGGGTCCTCAGGATTATAGAAACTTTTTAAGTAGTCCTTCACAAAAGGAGAAAAGGAAATGAGCTGCTTGGTGGAGGTCTGAGCTCCGACTTCTTTTTAGTTCTGTAAAAACTTATTCGATAGAACATAAATGTTTACTTTTTCTTGGCATTAAACCTTGAGTTTAAATTTTTGCTGGTAAACATTTCATACAAAACTTTCAAAGAACACATTAAATGATGCTTTGTTGAATTTGTATTTATTGGAAAACATACCCGTTTATTCTGAGTCTAAAAGTTAAAGTCTTGAACCTTGTCAAGCAACCCGTCTTTAAACCCCCACAGCAAGCAGAGCAGAAGCAGAGACAATAAAAGAAATCCCATAAAACGATCAACAGCTCCACCTGCTTGTGATCATGGAAATTACAAGACAGGTTTTCTCATGCCACCAAAATGACATTTCAACTCTGTGGTAGAAGTTGTTCAGAAATGTGATTCAAGTTTTGTCTGTACATTTTAAGCATGTCTATACTGACATGAAAACAATGATTTAATGGACATCTTAAAAACAAAATACAAAAACAATGCATAAACATATGTTATGACGACATTAGAAACAGCATATTCGTCCTACAACCTGACAATGTTGAAAATCCACAATTTCATACCCCAGCATTTACAATTTAGCCCTGCTGCCGTTTCTCCATGAGCAATGCATCCAGAGCAGGATACAAATACTTATATACATACTGTATTGAATCTGCAACCAACCTGTGAACAACTGCTATAAACAATGTAAAAAACACAATTAGAGTCATCGTTTTTTTTGTCCAGTTAGTGTGGTACAAAAAAAGAATAGACTTGGTCAAAATACCTACATGCTTCCTCTGATTCACATTCAGATTAAACATGTTCAGAAGCACATGTCATACAGAATACATGTATCTATAAACAACAGACAAGTTGACATGGACCATATGTGTTTTTCATAAGAATTTGAACAAGTTCCTTTGCAGATGTTATCACACCCAAATTTTCTGTTGATTCGAACAGTCGTTTGTCCAGATGAGGCACAGCTGCATGGCCATCCGACACTCCTCATAATTTCTTGCTGACAAGGAACAGAGATGAAAATATGACAGAAAACTAGAGATATTATCTGCGGCATAAAAAGTGATGTAGGAATGAATTTCTTTCTGTTCTGTTTTCAAACTACATGCCAGGAAACCCAACTATAGAAGGTTTGGATTCTCAAATATTAAACAGGAGTTTGATGGAAACCACCTAACAGCCATTTGTATGTCGTTTTTATTGTTGTTGTTTTTTTTTTTTTACATATATAAAATGAAATTACTACAATGCAAACATAAAAGACTAAGAAATTAATCTGCTTATTAAAGATACAATATTTAAGATTCTAGCAAATGTTTTTGCTTTTTTAATGTTCTGACTTAAGTTGGTTAGACATAAAAGTCTTCCTAAAGGGAAACACAAAGATAAACTGGATTATAAAAGATGTTTAGTAAAGCACAAATTTCCATTTTTTATATTTCTACTGCATCAAACTATGAAGTAATCTTTACCTGTCCAGATGAGAAAAGACCTCATGAAGTTGGCTGAGGAGAGCGCGGTGTTTCTGAGGATTTCCATCCAGGACCCCACTGAGTCGACTCAGGTATGAGTCAAGATTACCAAGAGATGCTGTCTCCCCTGTACCTGTTGAGGCATCAAAATACCAAATAAACATTTTGTTTAAACATATTTTAAACTCTAATAAGACTAGGGATGGGGATCGAAACCCGGTTCCATCAAGGACCCGGTTCCACTTTTTTCAAAACCCGAAAATCAATAACGTTTGGGCTTATCGATACCACTATCGAGTCTGGTCGGTTTTTTTTTTCTCCCGGAGGTCCTGTAACATAATTGTGTGTCCCTCGAGTCGCGTCACAGCATTTAAATCTAATCAATCCGATCACTGCAGCATGTCCACCAATGTTTTGGAATGAAATTGTAAGCAAACAGATATTTAAAGTAAAACAAGTCTGGCACTTAACTTTGCTCGCGACTTGAGAATGGCTGAACGGAAAAGACTCCTCCTCCTCCTCCTCCTGCCCCCGCACCACAGCCGGGCCCGTCTTCATCATCCACTCAGAGTACCACTGGTAAGCGCGCACACAGACTTTGTAGCTTGTCCGGTCAGTTAAAAATAGTAATTGTGAAATCCGTGTTGTAATCGGCAGTATACAAGCTAGTTAGCTTGAAAAGTAAATAAAGTTTCAGACGTGCTGCGTGATGATGTGTTCAGATTGGCTCAGTAAAACGACAATTAGGTTATCATGATGCGTTCAAGTGTAACGTAAAGAAAACGGGAAATTGAGTTTTTAGCGAGAAACATGAGTAATACAGTTGTATATTGCTCTAATTATTTTAGAATATATAATTAAACTACTGATGCCAACATTTATTAAAAATTACATTTAGTTTAAAATACAATTATTTATTTGTTAAATATTTTCCTAAAAACATGATGAAAAGTGACAGTAGACAATACATTAACCAACAATTGTGAAAATATATTCTAGTTAGTTTTATGTCATTTCAAAGTGGCCTATTACATTAGCCATGTTTATTGAAGGCTAGAAACGTTTTTGTTATGCTCACTTGTTAAGCAATAAAAGCAATACCAGTTCTGTTAAAAAATATTGTTGCATCGTCTTTCCACCAAATAACAGAAAAGTATCGATAGTGGTATCGATAAAGACTCGGATCGATAAGGAGTATCGATAAAGGTATCAATATCAATAAATATTAACGATCCCCATCCCTAAATAAGACATAACACAACTTTGGAGGTTTGTTTAAACTGAAAATAAAAAAAATACGTCTATCCAAAATGTCCATCATCTCCTCCCCATGTGGCTGACATACAGCTTCTGACCTGGCAGAGGGACTGTGGACAGGCTGCTGACCAGCGTGTGTTTAATGGCCAGCAGATGTGAGTGAAGAGCCTGGGTACGCTTTTCATCCTGCCCCAATTCAGCCTCCAGACGTTCTTTAGCGCTGTTCATGTCATTGATGTGGCGCTGCAGCATAGCGTTCTGCTCTTCAAACTCAATGTTTGCCTTCCGAAGTCGGCGCAACTCGGCCTCTCGAGCTAAAAAAAAAAAAAGAAGACTTAAGTTTCGGCAGGACAAACCCTTAACTTTTATGCATTTTAAGAATTAGATGGTATTTTTCTAAATTCAACAGTTTCTTCATTGGACAGTTATATTGTTTGAGTGTCTGTTACCTTTATTCTGATCGAGGAACTCTTCGGTGAAAATAGGAATGTCAAATCTGCTTGAGAGCTCGGGAGCCTAAAACAGACATAAAAAAAAAACAGAATAACTTAGATTTTGATGTAAGAAATAAATAAAATAAACCTTGTAAGGTCGCCTACCTTCATTAAAGACAATCCTGAACTTGTACTGACAACAACCGGCAGACTGTCTTCTGAAACAAGAAATTAAAACTGTAGATGCTTTTTTTTCTCCATGGCACAAATCAACATTACTAGACTTCATGTATAAGAGGTCAGCTTTACCCTTTTTAATCTTCTTGTCATGTATCTTGGCACTGGTGATGTGGTACGCCTCAGTCTGTTGATACTCCTTCAGTTCTTGAGCATATTGCACCTTCTCTCGCTCCGCCTCATCAAGATAGCGCTGTCAATAATCACACAATGTTGAGCTGTTATAATAAAAAGCAATTAAACTGCTCTCATGGAATTTATTATTTTTTTGTATATCTATTAAAGGTATTGTGGAGGATTCTTTAAAAAAGCCCCCTACCCACTTAAAAAACATGCTCATGCTAGAGCGTTTAAAATGTGCTGTTCTCATAGCTCATACAAGCTTACAGTGTCCACATACAGCGGGGACTATATGGTGGACTCTATAGCAAACCCACTTAACTGACCATTCCACAGGATCACTGCTTTTTGCACCGTTGGTCATGTAATTCCTCCTCCACCGCACGGTGCCTGCACCATCTTTGTTAATAGTCACTGCTGTGACAGCAAATCCCATAAATCTTAGCGAGGAGAGCTCTCCATGCAAAGCATTCTGGGATATATCTGCCTCTTCTGAGGCCTTCCTTTTGTTCTCAGACACTTTTTCTCTTACGACCCTCTGCCATTTTCAAAGAACCGTGGTGGGAAAGGTGAGCTTCAATGACCATCTGAAACCGTAGCTCACCACAGTTATATGCCTGATTGTGCGCATGCACAGAAAAAGATAGCTAACAGGGCAAGCAGATGGGATGGTCTTACATAAACATATCACCAGAATGATTGACAATTAGGAGGACCACTTATTTAGATGATCCACCCATAAATAAAAGATCATCCTCTATACCTTTAATGTATAGTTTAAAGTAAAAAAAATATATATATCAAAAACATTAACCTGTTTGTCGTTTTGGGCTAATCGTGTCCACTCGGCTCCGAGTCTCTTTGTGATTTCTGGAAAAGGTAAATCCGGGTATCGGGCTCTCATAACTTCTCGTCGTTCATTCAGGAAGCGAACATATCCTGTTACTGGAGCCTTCGGACCATTAGGGAGAACCTTCTTTCTTTTCTTTCCTTTTGGCCAACCTCGCTTCTTTGGCTGCAGAGAAAAAATAAAAAAAACGCCTTTGTTTTAAAATTTGGACCTACAGAACAACAACAAAAGATTTATTTTAATCTACATGCATTGTTTAATTGATTTGTTCCGCCACAATAATTTTGATAGGACAATCATGAAAAAAAACAAATCACAATAATATATTAAAAGTATCTGCATAAAAACATTTAGTTCTTATAATATTCACAGACTGTTATCTAACCTGAGGTTTATTTCCCCTCTAATAATGAATTCTAATTGCTCTGAAACTACTAGAAAAGAGCTTGTTTACTCCTTAAACAAAATGTACAAATATGTTTCCTCAATGAGGAAGAAATTTAGCTTGTAAATAATATCAAGATTATGCATTTAAATTTGGCCCAGTGCTTTCCAGTTCTTAGTTCCTGTCGAATCTTGGAGGATTTTAATAGCTTGTTTTTTAACATATATTGTCACAGATTTTCCTCAGGAATCCTCTGATAAATGTTGGGATTGAAGGATACTATGGTAAAGACCTGATCCCATGACAATACAGAGGGACGGGAATGAGGGAAGAAGAAATTTTTTAATTTTAATCACCTAAACATGATCAGGATCAGAACTCTCTCACAGGTTTGCAGCAAGTTACTTTATTTATGTGCATTATGGAGCTTGTTTGTGGGGACAATAAAGGATTTTAAACCTTTACCAGCCTGCTAAGCTGTTTGAATCTCCTTCCGATCATATATATATATATTTTTATTTTTTTTATTTTTTAGGTGTTTATTCTGACTAGAGCAGGACCAAAACAAATGTCAAAGGTTCATTCGAAAAGCTGAATAATGATTTCCTGATCATGTGATCTGACCTCAGTAATCAATCTGATCTGGTATACCTTAATGTAATTTCAGGCATTTACTACTTCAAATCAGCTTAAACCTGCATTTATGAATTTATATTGTTTGGAACATTTCAGAAGTAAACAAACAAAAAAAGTCAGTGTTTTATGTATTATTTATACTACCTTTATACCAGAGTGTATCTTAATAGGAAGTATGTCCAAATAGGCAAGAAAAATAAAGATTAGCTAACAAACCAACAGGACATGAAGAACTAGGTCTCTATTGCTTCAACAACCACAGGAATAGCTAACACCATGATATTTGTAATAGTTTCTGTATGGGTCCATATCTGCTGTTGTGTGTGTTTATTTTTTCCTCTCTCTGCAGCAGCAGCACCTACCTCCTCTTGTTGGTCCACTGGGTGTGAAGCTTTGGGCTGATGGGATGCATCACTCTGCTCTTGTTTAATTCCCCCCATCATCTTTCTATCTTTGCAATAAGAGAGAAGAACCAAGTCAAAGTGCTTCTGTGGAAAACGAGTATTATGTATAACATAAAGGAGGAAATCGTAAAAAAAGATCAATAATTACCAATCAGGAAGAGCTCTTTAAAAGCTAACCTGTCTGCTAACAGTTCGTTATGGCTAACGTTAACTGGTCGGAGCCACACACGCACAAACGGGGGGGGCGAAATTCACACAAAACAAAAAGCTAAAAGCAACAATTCTCCAACGGAGACAAATAATTTGGATTTGTGAAATAAAGACTAATAACGGAAAATAAAGAAAATGTTCTTTAAACGAGTTTTTCTCAATACTTTTTGAATAAGCGTTTATTTCTTTACCCAATAATACGTCCCTCGGCCAAACAGGAAGAGAAGTGTTATTGCTGCCCGATTGGTTGATATTGAGACTCATGATTGGCTGGTTGGTTCTAAGATCCACCCCCTCCGTCTGCATCAGGTTTCCGATTGGCTCACAGTGTATGATTAAGCAGGTTTAATAAGCATTCGTTTAACGCAGTATTACGCATGAGGAAACCGTGGAGAAAAGACTTCTTAGAAAATAAATATCAGCTAACTTTTATATTAGGTCGGCCATTTTAAGTTTAGTATCAAATTGATGAGTGCATTGATAAATACAAAGCATAAGATGAAACCCAACAGTTAAGTTTATAGCATGGTTAAGATGTTCCATAGCTAAAATTAAACTCTAGCCTGGCATATTTCCCATTTTTAATCATCCCATTCTGAGTCAGAAGCTATTTGATCCTTTGCTACATAAATGATCAGATATATCTGACCAAGTCATACCGTTTAAAGTTGATATGCAAAACAGTTTTAGTTGAATTGTCTTAATCGTGTTTAAACCAATTCTGAATTCAAAGCTTTAAGACTATACAGGATGTCATTCATATGCTAAGAGCTCAAATCTATACAGGTGCCTTGTAAGGTTCAAGGTATATTTGCTTAAAATTACTTTAGAAAATAAAAGCCCAGATGCAAATTAGGTCAAAACCAGTGGCACCCTAGCTTTGGACTGTTATATTACATCTTCTTAAACAGAGGACCCCCGGCATTAAGTTTTTAAAAGCCATTCCAATATTTCATTCATCACCATAATAAACCCAAACCCCATACCCACAAGAAAGCAAACAAAGGTTCAAGTTTTTATTTACTTTTATTAATCGTTTACAATTTTTGTGGTCATTTCTTTATTATGGTCGTTTTCTTTTGGCAAACATTGGTGCTCACTGTTCTGTACAGTTCGGTCCCACAAGATACTTTATTTGGTGGGTTGGAGGAATGAAACGAGAGCCGAGTGGGTGGGGGTCCAAGCCCTTACAATTTGTCCAGGTAGTTGTCCAATGCTGGGACGCCTTCTTTGAGACCCTTACGTTTGCGTGTCTCGAGAACAACAATACCAGGCTTGCTTGTGGGCTCCATTGGGTTTCCAGGGAGGACCTGCCAGTGGTCGAATACACACTGTGGGAAAGCCTGGCCACCAGTGTTGGAACGAAGGTCAGCTGTGAAGCCTAAAAACAGAAAATGTTTCAATTTAAACGTGCTGCAAGACATCATTTGGCACATGGACCCAGAAAAATATTCAGAATTTGTTTTTCTGTTGACATGCCAGATTACTTTACCACCTCAGCAAAAAAAAAAAAAAAAAAAAAAAAAAAAAAAAAAAAAAAAATCACCTTTATATTTACTTTATTGAACTGTACTCAGAAACTTACCGAATGACTCCATGACAGGCAGGTAGGCCTTGATGACATACATAGGTGTTCCCATTACCCTGGACTCCTCGAACACATGACCACGTCTACGGGTCAGCACACCGTAGATTCCACCCATTGCGGTTTCAGGGCACTTTAATTAAAGAAATATATAAATTTAATACCAAGTTCTGAACAGCATTCAAACTGGCAGGTGTAAGAAGAGAGAGAAATAAGAGAGTTTTCTGGTGGATCTCACCTGGATCTCCACCAGGTAGACTGGCTCCATCATTCTGGGGTCTGCTGTAAGCTCACAGGCATAGAGGGCTCTGCGGGCTGTGGGGATGATCTGACCACCTCCACGGTGAATTGCATCTGTGTGCAGGGTCACATCATGGATGTCGAAGCGAACTGCACGCATGTTCTCTTCACAGAGGACTCCCTTCGAGAAAAACATTTTTCAAATGTAGAACTGATCTGCTGGTGCTGCAGAATATTCTGACAGTAAAACATCTACTGGCCCTCACCTCCTTGGCTGCCCACTGGAAACCAGCCACCACGCTGTCCTTGATCTCATTAAGGTACTGCACTCCCTTGGTGACATCCACCAGGAGGTTGGGGCCATTTCCGTCGGGTCCGAAACACCAGATCTTCCTGGCCTCACCGACATCCCATTCGTACTTGTCAGCAAGGTAACGGGCACGGGCCTTGAGCTCTTGGCGGGCGGTAACATCACCCTTCTCGATGTCTTCTGCCAGGCCCTCTTCAAAGGGACGGGCCTTCATGAACAGCCGGTTGTGCTTGTTTGGTGACTTTGACAAACACATCACGCTGGATTCAGCGCTGACAGTTTCTCTGTAGGACACCACTGGATCAGATTTCTAAAAAGACGGGATAATTTCAGCATTTTTGTATCAGAAATGAGCCATGATACGATTTAATCTTTGAGTCTTAATCCCCTTTATTACCTTGATTGGAATGCAAGCATGATCCTCCTCCAAATCCTTCAGACAGATCTCCAGATGCAGCTCTCCAGCACCAGCAACAATGTGCTCTCCAGACTCCTCAATGATGCACTGCACCATAGGATCGGACTTGGACAGACGCTTCAGACCCTCCACCAGTTTCGGCAGGTCTGCAGGGTTCTTGGCCTCCACAGCAACTCTCACAACAGGACTCACACTGAACTTCATCACTCTCATGTTGTGCGCCTGCTCAAAGGTTGTGATTGTTCCGGTCTTGACGAGGTACTGGTCCACTCCAACCAGACCCACGATGTTACCACAAGGCACATCTTCAATGGGTTCGACGTAACGGCCCATCATCAAAATGGTCCTAACAGAATGAGGAAAAAGGCATGACTCAGACAAAAGCTTTCATGCATTATTGAATGGTGAATAATGACAGCATGTGATGCTAACCTCTGAATAGGTTTCAAGTAGAGATCATCCTTTTTTCCTGGAACAAAGTTTGGTCCCATGATGCGCACCTTGAGTCCAGTGGACACGCTGCCAGAGAAAACACGACCGAATGCATAGAAGCGACCCTTGTCGGTGGTGGGCACCATCTTAGAGATGTACATCATGAGTGGAGCCTTGGGGTCACAGTTCTTGATACCTGGGTGACAAATTCAAAAGTGAACAGGACAAAAAAACAAAAAACAGAAATGAAGTAGCTGTACAGCATTAGGTACACTTGAAACAATAATGAATATGTAAAGTAGTAATTTTATGCTATACCCATAGCAGCTTCATCATCTCCAGGCCCTTCATAGAGCAGCTCACAACGGTACTTCTGGGCAGTGACGGGAGATGGGAGGTGGATGGTGATCATCTGCAGGAGGGCCTCTCCAGCAGGCAACCAGCGCCTCATCACAGCCTTCAGGAGGGGCTTGCCTTCCTTGTCCTTGTCCTCAACATCCAACTTGATGTCCATCTTCTGGATCAGCTTTGCAGCCTCATCTTTCTTGAAGTTCATGATGGCATCAAACACCTAGGCACAGGAATTTGTTCGTGTTAAACAAGTCAAAATGTTTAAGTCACAGCCATTGGTGCATGCTGCACCTGCTCAGGCTGAAATAAATCATCACTATTTATCAGGTCAAAGTGAAGAATAAAGTAGATCATCACTTGCAGGTATATATAAATATTAGGTGGCTGTATCTTGAACAAAAATAAAGGCAACCCTATTCACAAGCGTTTCCATTAAAATATGTATGATTACCTTAAAGATGGGGTCCAGGACCAGAGCACAGAAGGTGCGAGGGAACTTTTTGCCATCAGCACTAACGGCAGACTTGACAAACTTGCCATTCTCTGTGTCGTAGTACCTGAAATGGACAGGGTTTTATTAGTAAAAGCCAGCCATCCATTTCTAACAGGGAATAAGAGCACCATTAAACCAACCTGTCACCCCACAGCTTTTTCATCATGTCCTCCACCTTCTTGCAACGCTCCTGTGCCGTCATCTGGGTGTTGCCTTTAGCTGCAAACTTGGCTGCGTACATCTCAGCAAACTGCTTCAGGGTGAAAGCCCAACCATGGAGACCAGAGCCAAAGCCAACGGTACCGATGACTGGATCAACCTAGAAGGTTCCAAGAAAACAAGGGTTTTCATTTTAATGCCGAGCTACATAAACACTGATGTGTCTAGAATGGTCATTGTAACATTAATGAAGTAGAATTCTCTGTCAAAATGATAAAAAAAATCCTTACCATGATGTTTCCCATTGGTCCATTTTCATCCTCGCCATAGGTGGAAATGATCACATTGACTGACTCAACAATACGCTGGAAAGTCTGGTAAAGGTCCTCAGGCTCTAGCTGCAACTCCAGCAAGGCACGGTCCATCTTGTTCATCATCAGGACTGGCTTAATTCGCTCACAGATGGCCTGGCGAAGCACAGTCTCAGTCTGCACGCACACACCTGGAATAGATAGAGCAACACTTTAATCTTGAGTCTTAATATATTTAACACAAATGTGGAAAAAAATGGGATTCACATGAATTATTCATCAAACCCATCTAAATGTGAATTGGTGCACCATTAGTTAAGAAAATCCCTGGATGGGCTCAACATAGTTGGTGTAAAATGATTACCTATGCAAACCTGATTCAGACCAGTTGTTTTGGGTAAACAGAGAAATAGAAAAGTCCCGATAAAATGCTGCAGAATATTTAGAGGACTTGATGTATACTTCATACTTCCCTCTAGCTACAATATGAAAACCAAACATCTGTCAAACCCGTTTTGTTTCGCTGGCATTCTTTGAATAACCCTTTAAAACACTTTTAAGTTTCCAAAAAGTGTATTTTGGGAAATGGCCCTTACCGGACACGCAGTCGACAACCACAAGTGCTCCATCAGTAACACGGAGCGCAGCAGTCACCTCAGAGGAGAAGTCGACGTGCCCAGGTGAGTCGATCAGATTGATCAAGAAACCAGAACCATCCCTGCTCTGCTTGATGAAAGCCAAGTCATTTTCACTCAGCTCGTAGTACATGGAGATGGCTCTGCAAATTAGAAAAAATTGGGTATAGTGGCAGTGAGGAAAAAAATAACCAATATATATATATATATATATAAAAGAAAAGATTTCTATACTTGGTAGTCCCTAAACAAATAAAATGTCCCTTTGATCATAACTATAAACTTACGTAGACTTGATGGTAATACAGCGTTCCTGCTCATCTTTTCGGGTGTCTGTGAAACGTGTCTCTCCAGCACGGGCTGAGGCAATGATGCCAGCTTTGGACACCAGTGAATCCGTCAGCGTAGACTTTCCATGGTCAACATGCGCAATCACGGACATGTTACGGATGTTGGCCTTTTTGTCCATGATGGCACGGATCTGGTCTACAGTAAAGTTCACCTGTGGAGAACAATCAAATTTAGAAAATTCTGCACCGAAAATGAGTAATTCCTTTTTCAGAGCTTGAGAAATTTTCTAAGAACTCAAATTCGAGTGTAACAAAAAATGTATTACCATTAATCCTTACTTAAATCATGGTAAAATGATAGAGGTTTAAAATGGATTACCAGATAAAGGACCATTCCTAAAGCAGGAATACTTGCAGATCGTTATTAATAACAGATTTGAAAGAACGTTTATAAACTTTAGTACGATTTATCTCAGCAGTTGCTGACATTTGATTGTGCTGCAGTTCCACCCTGGGCGTTAGGTTTCCGCCATAATCATAGATGACGTTATTGTTGTCCAAGTCTTGTGTAAAAACCGGCCTAACAGCTTCTACTAATGAAAGTTGGAACTTTCGTAAACAACCACAACAAACTTTTGTTGATACTGGCAGTTTTATACATTATTGCCTGAAAACGCCCTTCAAACAGATGACAGCCGGCACAATACGTCGGCTTTTCTAGGCCACGTGTACGGACTTTGAGTTTGAGCTAAATGCTAACCGTAGCAGATCCAAAATACCGGCAAATTAGTTTTTAAAGCACAAAACCAACAAAGTTCGTCTGGGGCAATGGGTCCAACCTTGCCTTATACGAATATAAGTAACACAATACAAATGTTACGATTACTTCGGTACCACAGAAGTTACAAAATCTTTTTTCTAAAAGAGTTAGCATTAGCTAAAAAAGCCGACACCAAAAGTTAACACGTCGGTGCCGCAGATTTAAAGCCCTTTTCAGACATCTGAATGAACCATTACTGGCATGATAGCAACAGGAAACATCCAACAAATTAAACCAATAACGTTTTGATAACAGGTAAACTGTTTATTGCAGCGCTACAAGTATTTTCAAGCTAACAGCAGGTTACAAAACGGGTGCCATTTTGAACAGACCGAATCAAACAAGACGTTTGTAAGATATCCTTAAAATGTTGATGTATGGAAGAAATATTGTTCCAGGGAACAAGTAAGATACTCAATGGCCCGTTATTAGTTCGCAGAGGAGTTAGAAACTCACCATTTTGACGGATGGTTTTGGATTCTCTTGGTGGAGAAAAGAGACAAGATATTTAGCACTGCCCACCTCACGAGGGCATAGGCAGGGAAGAGGCCGCTGACGTCAGAAAATCAGGATTTATACCGCGTGCGTCAGTCCCGTGCGTCCCAACGTCCCGATGTTGCTTAATGTTACGTTATGGCTGCTTCTTCAGGGCATATTTCATTTGAAGGAAACGTTAATCGAAAAATAAATAAGGGGAAAAAAACTTTGTGAACCGGAGTGTTTTGTTAAACTGTAGTAGAATAATTTATGTAAATTGAAGTACTAGTTTAATCAAGATACATTTTAAAACGCATATAGACAACAGTCTTAATATTTGATTTATAATAAATAGGGAGACCGGGGCTAGTTGTCACACTTTTTACACTCATATTTATATCTTGGAATCAAAACATCATATATATATAATATGTACCTGATAAATGAGCAAAGTTTCAGGTATATATTTTGTATTCATGTCATTTTCATATCTTATGTCAATACAGAGTTATAAGCAATCAATTCGACATTGTTACCATGTGACAAGTTGCCTCACCAAAGGGTAAGTTGTCACACTATGTGGGGTAAGATGTCACTCTGGATTTTGCATCCAATAAAATAAGGACAAAAGAATTGTTGTTCTTATTTCCTTAATGGAAAGTGAATAAATGACAATAATTTACTCATATTACACTTGGGATATGAAATATCATGAAATATTATGCAACAAGCATTACAAACCAAACTGGTCCAGGAACAAAAGGAGATCTCACTAGTCAGTCTCCATCTCAGTTGCAGTTTTGGCATACATAGACTGAATTGCCAGGGGTGCATTCTTAATGTGCCCATCCTTTGCATATCATGCACTGCAACCATGGTTTCCCTGGAGGCACAGGGACTAATCTTCCAATGAGGAGTCATCTGGAGTTTTATTTTTTATTTTTTTGTATTTGTCCTCTATTTCCTCCCTGTGCTTTGCTTCTTTTGCACTTTAAAATTTTGTTACATTGCCGCTTATTTTGAACAGTTTTTTCTTCCCTTTTGCCTGCTTTTCAGCTTCATATGCCTCTTTCACTTATGCATCAATGAGAGTAGAGGGGTTTCTCTTCCTTCTCGACTGGGTAACTTTTTATCTTGGACCAGCTTTTGGGTGATGCCTTATAACCTCTAGAGTAAATGCATTGATGGAGGAGGCTGCTTTACTAAGGCCTGGAATAGCTTCTTGGTTCTTGCTTGGTCCAGTTGGTGCTTGGGCTTGGTAGAACTAGGTCCTGGTAAGTGTGATCTGAGAAAATTCTGTCTCCAAGAACACTTCCCTGTTGCAAGGCTGAATCCCTTTTGCACGAAAGCCAGCCTGAATGTTATGTGGGGTTACAGTCATCGGATAAGTAGTGGCTACAATCCTAGGTATGTCATGAATGCTGAGTGCTTTCCCGGGGTTGTTCTTTTATAACTCCTGACCATCTTTGAACTTTCTCCTGTATTTTAAACTACTCTTTTTCCAATAAAAAATAAGCAAAATCTTCATTAGGGTGTGCTAATTTAAATTATTATTGGAAAATGATCACTTTAGGGTAGTCATTACATGTCACAACTTACCCACAAATGACTGTGACAAGTTGCGGCAAATGACCATGTTTGCCAATTCTCGCTCTAGCTCAGCGGTCACCAACCTTTTTACAGCTAAGGGGTAATTCAGGGGCAATGAGTCACAGGAAGGGCTACCAATACTGACCTATGAATGGCAAGGGTCAATCTTCACGTAAACTTCATATATTATATACATATCTTTTTTTGTTTCTTTAAATTTATAATTTTCTTTTAGACATTTTCATTTTGAAATCTCTATAAATGCTTAAATGCCATATATGATTAAATGATGAAATGTTCTATAACCCAATTAAAAAAAGAAGAGCAACAGAATACAGTGAAATTTCAAACGTAGCTTACTGTTGAGTTGTTCTATTTTCAGAAGACTCTAAGGCAGAGGTCTTCAACAGGGGGCCCGTGACCCCTAGGGGGTCCGCGGAGGCACTGCATGGGGGTCGCGAAACTTTTGGTTGATTAATTTTTTTTTTTTATATTCCCCCCTGAATTGAAATGTCTTTAAATCCACATTAACATGAATTCAACACACTGTAGTAAACAGATAAATGGAGGCAAAAGATGTCTTTCA